AGCTGGTTTCTCTCTCTCCCCAAAACCCACTATACGTACTCTTTGGAGATTTTGTATTAAAAGATGTGAGACCACAGGGAAGGGCAGAATAGGTGAGATGAGCAAGAGGAGGAACAACAAATCGAAGGTCAGAAAGCGGATGGACAAACAGAAATAGACCCTGCAGACCCAGGACAGCTGGACACTTAGGTAGCAGTGGGGGGCCTAAGAGCTACCCTTTGAACATCAGAAAATCCCTGAGGGGCGTAAGTGCTGCCAACCCTCTTGGGGGGAAGGGGAAGGAGGGGAGATTATAAGTTGCATGAAAACCATCAGATCTCTGGATCCCCTCACTCCGTCCATGCCACAGTAACTGCTCCTCCCCCTACTCATGGCCAAAGGTGAGGCTGAGTATCTGGAAAGGTAAAACTTAACCCTGAGGGTAAGTCAACACAGCAGAGGGCATGACTACTCTATGGAAAACATAAAAATGTGATAACTTTATGCATAAAATAAATGCTTTCTGGTGAGAGCCCACCCAACCCTCTAATCTGAATCTGCATAGCTTCCGGAAAATCTTTGCCCCTGGGACAACACATGGGAAGAGTGTTCACTAGGGACTCTAGCCAGTCCATGATGAAGGAATTAAAGAAACTTTGTCAGTTCCCAGAGAGGCTGCCAGATCACCCTACAATGAAGCCCCAAGTTTTCAGGCCCCTCCTACTTGCTCAGAACTACCAGCTTTTTAGTCTCCACTCTTAACCACTATCTGACAGCCAAAGATCCCTAGGTGTCTGAGGAAAGCCTAGACATAGAAGATGAAAGACCAAAACAATTACATTGTTTTTTTTTTTAAAGCGAACTGGAAGAAACCCAATCTATGCAGGGAGAAGAAAACTTCTAGAAAACTATCATTATTAGTCTCAGAGAGCTAAGAGAAGACATGACATTCATGAAAAAAAAATGGGATACCACAGTAAAAAAATTTTTAAGGAGCTCTTAGAGATTAAAACCCCAGTGGAAGAGGTGTCTGGGTGGCTCAGTCAGTTGAGCATCAGACTTTGGCTTAGGTCATGATCTGCTGGTTCATAAGTTCAAGCCCCACATTGGACTCTGTGCTGATAGCTCAGAGACTAGAATCTGCTTCAGATTCTGTGTCTCCCCCCCCTCTCTCTCCCACTCTCTCTCAAAAATAAACATTTAAAAATAATAAACACTAAAAAAAACAGTGGAAAAGTTGAAAGATAACACTGAGTAAATCTCCTGGAAAGTAGAGCAAAAAGACAAATCAATAAAAGGGGGGAGAAAAGATAAGAAAATAAGAGAATGAGTCTAGGGGAGCAGATATCTACATAACAAGAGTTCCAGAAAGAAAGAACAGAGAAAACAGGAGGTAGAAACCAACATCATAATCCTCTCAAATTTCCCAGAACTAGAGGCCATGAGTTACCAGATTGAAAGTGTCCAAGCACTCCCCAGGATGAAAAGACACCCATATCAAGATACATCATTGTGAAATACCAGAACATTCTTACAAGCCTCCAGAGAGGAAAAAATGTTTCCTGCAAAGAGTGAGGAATCAAACCGTCTTCCTGCTCTGAACACTAACACTGGGAGCAAGAAGCCAATGCAGCAATGTCTTCAAAATCCTGAAGGACAATTATTTTCAACTTAGAATTCTATACCCAGCCAAACTCTCCATCAAGAGTAAAATAGAAAGAAGGGCAAATGGGTGGCTCCGTCAGTTAAGCGTCTGACTTTGGCTCAGGTGAAGATCTCAGGGTCTGTGAGGTCGAGCCCCACGTCAGGCTCTGTGCTGACAGCTCAGAGCCTGAAGCCTGCTTCAGATTCTGTGTCTCCCTCTCTCTCTGCCTACCCCCACCCCTCCGTACTCTGTCTCTCTCTGCCTCTCAAAAAGAAAATGTAAAAAAAAAATTTTAAGAGTAAAATAGAAAGAGAAAACATCATTTTCAGACAGAAGTTTTCTAACGTTTACTTCCCACGTACTCTGCCTAGGAAGCTACCAAAACAAGAATGTAAACTGAGAAAAACATGGGATATAGAAAATGGGAAATCCATTACAGGAAAGAGGTAAAGGGAATGTAGAGGATGAAGGTAAAGGGAGATCCCAAGATGCCAGCTGCGTCAGACGCCCAGAACAACTGAATCGCCCTGGAGCAGAATGGCTCGAATGAGAGGCAGGTAGAGGGCTCGCCATCACAACGCCTCCTGCTGCCGGGCCACCTCGGGTAGAACGGCTTTTTCACCTGATAAAGCCACTGGAGGATGTAGGTCAGTAACGCCAGAGCATAAACCCAGAAAAAAGGAGGATCCAGGAAACTGACTCAAACCCGGGAGAAAGGCCAAGGGAAACCCCAGGGTAACAGCCATACACGGGACCTAACAGGCTGTCAGTTCAGAAAGAAGAATGGAGTTCTCCAAGAGGGATGGCCCCAAGGAAAGCAGCCGACAAGACCTTACAGAAATGGCGCTGACCTTACAGAAAAGTGTAGTAAGAGGCTATTGGATGGGATAAGAAAAAGTAATGATACATAGAAAAAAAAAAATTAAATGAGACATTAAAGAAAGTATTAACTTGAGTAACGACAAAAGAAATAAAGTATACTACAATGTTGTTATGAATGATATTGTATAGAAATAGGGTAAACAGTAAGCATTCATTTAAGCAAAAACCATGCTATAACCATGTTGAGAAGATCAGTGAGGAGAAACAGAGAAAATGAAGATAAAGAGAGCCAATTCCCTATCTACCATAACAGGGAGACCAGATAGCGTGAAGACCCGAAGTCTCAAAAGTTAGCTGTGGTCACACACTACTCAGCACTGTGGAAATGTCAACACCAGAAGAAACAGCTAAGAGGAGGAAATAGTTGCTTCTGGAAAGACAAATGGGGGGGGGAGGGGCTGAACTCCTATATTTTGATACGTGCCTTTTCGTATAACTTGAAGACTGAAACTATGTGCATGTATTAATTTGATCAACTTAAAATTAATTGCCTTTAAAAGGAAGGATTAAGGACTTTCTAGATAGGGAAAATAGCATATGTAAAAGCAAGGATTTGGGAATGAGCCAGGTTTTTCAGAAAACTGTCAGCGCCACGGTCACATAGCAGTCGTAAGCAAGCAGCATCGGGTGCCTTAGAGAGCAATAGTATCTCCTCCTCTCCTCGAGCTTGGTGGACTTTGGCAAGTCATCTAGCCTATTTTGGTTTCCTTCTCCGTAAATTTGACTAATAATAGCACTTACTTCACCAGGTTTTGTAAGAATCCAATGACATTGGAAACAGATGAATGTTGCAAAATGGTATGCTGTACAAAGGAATACAGGCACACCCCTGTGTCCCCTGGAACAGACGGTGTTCTCAGCCTGGAGCTCAGAGGGTTCTGGGTAAGGGTGAGAACTGCCCAGGAGAACCCAATCCCAGAGAAGCTGTTTAGCCGGCTGGCCCACACAGGTCCCCCAGAATCAGGGCAGGTCACAGCTGGAAACCACCAATGCCCTCGATTTACTGAAAAAGATGGGCTCCCGGAGGGAACCTTGACCTGGGCCCGTTAGCCGATGGCTGCCCAGTTGGGAGGCGTAGTCCTCCAGGCCCGCAAGCAGGTCAGGCTGGTGCAACAGGGGACCCCGCTGGGAGGTCTGGAGGAGAGCAAGCCTCAGAGCCAGCTCTCCAGCCCTCTCACCCCACCAGCCTCCTCTTCCAAGGAGTGTCACTCTACTCCCTTCTGCCAAGTCCCACCACTGGAGCTCAGGGAAATACATACAATCACCGTCTTAATCTCTAACACTTACATGGTACTAAATGTACGCCAGGTCCTATTCCAAATGTTTTGCAGGTCTTGATGCATTCAGTCTCACAATAACCCTAGGACATTCATGCTGTGATCATCCCCACTTCACAGATGAGACGCTGAGGGGTCATGCAAGGTTATGCAACCTCTCCCGTATCACATAAGAGGAAAGGGGAAGAGCCGGCTTCCCAGCCAGGCCATCTCTCCCCAGGGTCTGCAGGCAGAATCACTATACATTGCTGCCTCTCAGGCTTGAGATTCACAAGCCTCAAAGCACTCAGCTGTAAAATGGGGGTCTTTGGAGAGATGGCCTCGAAAACCTCTTTTGGGGTGTCTGGGGGCTCAGTCGGTTGAGTGTCCAACTCTTGATTATGGCTCAGGTCATGATCTCATGGTTTGTGGTATCGAGCCCCACATCAGGCTCTTTGCTGGCAGCATGGAGCCTGCTTGGGATTCTCTCTCTCTCTCTCTCTCTCTCTTTCTCTCTCTGCCCCTCCCCTGCTCTCACTCTCTCTTTAAATAAATAAGTAAACATTTAAAAAAAACACCTCAGGGGGGCGCCTGGGTGGCTTAGTTGGTTAAGCGTCTGACTTTCGCTTAGGTCATGATCTCGCGGTTCGTGGGTTCGAGCCCCGCGTCAGGATCTGTGCTGACTGCCAGCTCAGAGCCTGGAGCCTGTTTCAGTCTGTGACTCCCTCTCTCTCTGACCCTCCCCTGCTCATGCTGTCTCTCTCTCTCTCTCCTAGAAATAAATAAAAATATTAAAAAAAAAAACCACCTCAGGGCACCTAGGTGGCTCAGTTGGTCAAGCATCTGACTGGCTCAGGTCATGATCTTGTGGTTCTTGAGTTTGAGCTCCACATCAGGCTCCTTTGCTCACACCCCGCCTCTCTCTGTCTTTCTCTGTCTCTCTCTGTCTCTGTCTCTCTCTCTCTCTCAAAAGTAAGTAAACATTTTTTAAAAATAAACCTCTTTCAGTTGGACAGCTTCTTTCCTTGGAGCTAAGATTCATGAGTCCCATGTCTGAGGGTAACGAACCCATACTGAAGGTAGGCTTTTGAAAAAGAGCAGGGTGTGTATGGTGTGAATGGGAGGAGAAAGGGACCCCTGCCCACACAGCCAACCCCCTCCATGCCTGTCCCCACAGCCCCCTTGGACCCTCCCGTGTGCCATGACCCTGGTGTGGCTCGTCCAGACGGTCTCATTACCTGTGACGATGCAGGTGAACCTGACGTCGCTGTCCTCGGACACAGCCCGGGACTTGAGCGTGGTCTCGAATAGCGGCTGGGTCTCCTCGGTTAGCTGAGCAATGATGGAGCAGAAGGTGCTCCTAGGAGAGGCAAAGAACTATTCAGAGCGGCTTTCCCCCGCCAGTATCTCTGGTAGTGTCCAGCTGGGACCCATGTTGTCCAAAGCAGCTTAAATCTTACCATGTCCATCCACCAGCCTGTGGCCATGGCTCCGGTACCTGAGCCAATCTTTCTTCAAGGGAGCCAGATCTCTTGGCCAGGTTGGGGCCAGGGGTGGGAGCAAGGGGCTGAATGGCATCCTGATACAGACCCATTCCAACAGGCAGGCTTCTGACCATGGCCAGGCTCCTAAGCAAGCCAGACCACCAGTGCTGCTGTCCCCTTCTCATCCCTATCGGAAGGCCTTGCTTCACCCTCGATCACCTATCTCCAGGAAAGCTCGTGCATGGGGGAGACACATATATGGATAGGTCCAGCCTCAGAGAAGGGGACCCCAGCACAGCAGAGCTTCCATTCATGCTAAAGAGGAAAAAGCCAGTCAACCCTCAGGGACACACAGCTCAGGGGCCTCTCCTAAAGTTTGGGCTCAGAAGAAAAGGCCCTGAACTTATGAGCAAAGACCACAGTAGAGAAAGAATAAGCCAGCCAACGCCAGGGGTCTAGACCCAAAGGTAGACTCTAATTCAGAGGGGTCTCAGGAAAGAGAGTCTGCTCTTGGATCATCCCCGGATACCACATGCTCAGGTGAATACATGGCGGCCAGCTCCAAGACTGACCAGCACGACTGCCAAACCACAAACAGGTCTGTTCCTGCAAAAGCCACGACTTTTAGTTCCATAGGGACAGTCCGCCTCCCAGAATTCAAGGGCATCTGCGGGCTGGCTGAGCCTAGCACAGACTCACCGACACGGCTAAGCATGTACGGTCCTCTCCTTCCTGGGCACAGGAAGCAAACCACCATGCCAAACCCTTTCACGGGCCAGCAGAGACACAATGCGTCCCTAGGCGTGAAGCGTAACCACACAGCCAGGTTGTGTGACGCACAAGCCGTGCCCAGCCCTCCCCCACCCCCTCCCCACTCACACACCCTGTGGTGAGCAGCCATGGGGACCGTGAAGGGAGAAGTGAAGAGAAGCAGGGGCAACTGGAGACAGACAGACAGAACATTCAAAGCTGCCTTTCTCTGTGCCTCGGAGGAGGGGTGGCCACCCAGGCAATGTGCGTCTGCTCCCAACCTCTCCCCCTCTCCGCCAGGGGCAGGGGAGGGTGCGTGGGAACACAACGAAGAGTTTTGTGGAGAGGGCTTCCACATTCAACTCATCATTTCTGTGGGTGACATTCTGGACTTGAGTTTGGGGAGAAAGGTGATAGCCCGGAAGAGCGTCTAGAATCAGGTAAGACTTCTGGACCAACATGGGAATGCAGATGCCTGGCCCCCTGGGGAGCTGACAGGAGCCCTCCCCCACCAAGACGGCCCAGAAAGGGGACCCTAAGCTCTCACACACCTGAACTCTTGAACACTTGCAGTCAGGGTTCCCTGACACCCCGTGTGTCGCTCTCATCTAGAACTCCCTCTGTCGCTCTCTGCCTTTGCCTTCACCCCACTCAGAAGCAGAGGGTCCTCCAACTCCCTGACACTCAGGAGATATAGCATCTGAAAGCATTTCTTGCTGCTCTCACACTAACTGCGTATTTCTGCCTGGGGAATACCGAATCCCAACCAACCGTTTCCAGAGGAAACTGCTGTGCCAAAAGGAATCGGACTTCCCTGCTTTTGCAGCTAATTTAGAACATCCCTAATTATGCCCTCCCCACATAGCTCAAATCCTATCTTACTAAGGAGCGTGAGCCCGGATCTCATGCTCAGCTTAGGCTCTTAAGGACCAAGCTACTTGGGCAAGTCTAAGGAAATAAGCTACTGGAAAGAGAAGATGAGGAAAATATGCCTCAAGGAAATTTGCAGAGACGAGTGTTCCCGCTAGATATTCAGTAACAGGTAGAGATTTGATTTCACTACTTTTCTTGAGTGGGCAAGAACACTCATCGTCCCAAAGCCACTAGGTTCTAGGCTATATTCTAGAAAACACTTACATTGGAAAATCATACATAACCGCTAAAAGGCATGACTAGATGAACACCCTCTGGGCGGGGGGGACTGGGGTGCATTAGGGGAGACAGGGAAAGTCGCTGCATACGTGGTCACAGTCCACCCGCTTTCTGTCCCTGTCCTCCAGACCACTTGGACGGACTCTGTGCAGAGCTATTTCCAGTCTCCTGGAAAGCCAGAAGTCTACACATCTGGAAACAGTCTGGTCCCTCCCTGACACCTCCAAGCCTTTCCAACTCTGTGACTTCATAAGGAGAGCACAGTCTCATCACGAGTCTCTGAAGAATACCAAGATCGTTGGCTTTGACAATGTGCAAAGGAACCTAACTGTGCCCTTAGACTTAGTTCTTTACCTTGCCTTAAATAAACTTCCCAGATCCCTTCTCTCTGAGCATCCACCACTCACCTCTGAATTGGTTGTGATACCCTCTCCCCCACCCCTCCAGACCATCCACCAACCCAGAACAAAGGTCCTCGGTGATCTCCTATGTCGAAGGAAATGTACAGGGTAGGCGCGAATCGTGTCTGTAGACATGATCAGCTATTCAGAGACCAAGTTGGCTTCTCCGAATCTTTCTTTGTGTAAAGAAACCATAGGCAACTCTCCCCAGGTCTATCGGAGTCTGGGATGAGGCCCAAGTGGTGGGAATATCCAGGAAATGTTCTGACTTTTATGATAGAAGTCAGTGCAGCCCGCGGGACAAAGCTGTGCCCAGCTCGGGAGGCAAGAGATCAGGCATCCAATGGGTAAACCCAGACTGTGAGCCTGCCCAGGTCCTGCCTGGCTCTGGAGCAGATTCAGAGAGCATGCGAAGGCAGGAATATGCGAACACGGTATTCCTTGACCTCAGAGGGTTCATAGTCTCGCAGGAATGGAGCCAAAGAGGAGGGAAATTGGAGGAAGAGGTGGGAGAAGGAGAAGAGAATGAGAGGGAAACGTTGAAGGCATTAGCCATGGTCAGAAAAGAGACAATAAGGTGTCAAATCTAGACAAGGGATTACGAACACCACAGACACCTAGGATTGGGCAGTGGGTCACGTGTTCTGGCCCCATGGCTCCTCTGCCGGGGAGCACAGAGACACAGTCACAGGCATTTGGGGAAGCCTTGTTTATTTCTGGGTCCCCGGGAGCCTTTCGGTGGTCCATGCAGGCGTCAACTCTGGCTCCTGTGAGACATATGCTCACGTGAGTGCCCTCGCCCCTTCCCGCCCTCCCCCATTCCCGCCCTCCGGCCCTCCCGTCACCCCATGCAGCCCCATTAGTGCGCAAGCAGTCACCCGGAGGCCCTTCAGTGCCCAGCCCCGAGAGAAAAAAGCAGTCAGAGAAATGTAATGCAAGGTGCGTTTACCTTCCAGAGCTGGGGTGAGACAACCGGCTGCTTGATAAGCTAAGCGAAAACAGCAAATGGAATCATTAGGCCAGGAAAGCAAGGAGAGGAGGCAAAACCAACAACAGTTTGCAGAGTATTAATTGGCCACCATCTGGGGCCCAGAGGCCTTTCTATTAAAAGGGACCAGCTGTCTTAGTTGGCCTGCTCCAGTTAGCAAGTGGCCTCACCACCAGGCGCCAATGTATCTGAAACGGAGAGCTCGTTAAATGCAGCGAAGTCCAGGGAAATGGTTAGGCAGAAAGGAAGCCCCCGTGGGCCTGCGCTTTGAGAGAAAAATGTGTCCCAGGCCACTTGGGTCACCGCCCCCAAGAGAGGGGCTCACAGCGTCCCCACCCCGCAGCACACCAGCCTGGGGGCAGCTCCCGCTTCGACCTTTGGCTTTTGGGGGGAGAAGAGCCCTCATTCCTAGAAATTTGCTAACAGGTTGGGAAGGAGGCAGGTGGCTTGGAGGACACCCATTAATAGGTTAAGGTATGGTTAAAGGGGCCACACAAGGCAAACCAGCTGGAAGAGAGAAGAAGTGGAAACAAGGCACGTAATTCAGCAGGAGCCCGGAGACACCCGGCTCGGGCAGGCCAACACAAGGGTCCATTATGTCTACGGGCCCTGATCACCCCTCTGGCCCCGGGGCGGCTGAACGTGGACACTAGCTGGGGGCTGCGGACCCACCCAGGGAGATCACCCCACTCGCCTCTCCCTCCACCTCTCCTAACACAGACACGTCCAGGGGGGACCGCCCCCTCCACACTCACCCACCTCTGCTGCCCCTGTGAGGATTGCTCTCCCTTCCTTACCAGCAGCCTGGCCTGCTCTGCGGCCTTTGTGTCTGCGTTTCCAGCCACAGACCCCGTCCACTGATGGATGGCCCGTCCCTTCATAACCGAAAGCCCAACCTCAGCCTCCACCCCAAAACACGGCTTCCTCTCTTGGGTTCCCGGGTTTGTGGCCACCTCTGGCAACCCCCAAACTCCAAACTGTAAATCTGCCATTTTGGACCCCTGCCTCTCCTCCAGGCCCCAAGGCCCGCCGGTCAACAATTCTTGGCCGTGTTTTCTTCCTTTCTCTCTATCCCTGCTGCTGCGTTCTGGTCTAGACCCTCATGGCTCCATGTCTGATCATCACCTCAGCTCCCTTCTCCTTCTCCCCTCATCTCACATCACTTCCCTGAAAAAATGCAATGATCCCCCTCATTGTGTATTACACTGAGTCTCAACTCCTTAATTGGGCACGTAAGGCCTTCTCTGACCTGCTCACACACCCCCTATGACCATGGTTCTCTACTTCCCAATGTCACGTTCCACTGGAACCAGCCCTGTCCCTAACTGCCATGGACATGTCCACCCCTGGCCTCTGACCCCATCCTTCTGTCCTCCTTGCTTGGAAAGCCCTCCCTCCTTGCTTTTGCACTCCCCCCCCCCGCCCCCAGCCTTCAGACCATGCTCCCCGCACAGTGCTCAGCGGACAGCAGGCATTCAACAGCTGTTTTACGGAAGGGAAAGAGAGACAGAGAGAGAGATGGTAGAGATAGGGAAGGCAAGTGCATCTCTCAAACAGAAAGGGTGCTGCCCCCCAGAGGAAGCTGCTGCTCCAGAAAAGATGGAAAGAGCGAGAATGCAGCTGCCTCTGCTCAGAGCTTTAAAAATCCTCTGGAGGCTGCGTGGGCAGAACCTCTCATGGTTCCAAGACACTGGCCAAGTCCATCCTTTCCTGACAATGAACTTCCTTTGCCTTTCTCCTCGTAATTGAGACATTTGTCCTCTGTTGGGTCTGGATTTCTTCCCTGGGAAGGAGAGGGAGAGAATCAGCTCTCTAACTCCAAGGAGAAGGACAGATGCCACCTGCAAGGAGATAAGGGACTGAGCCACTATGGGGACCCCCTCCCTGGCTCTCTCTAGGACCACTGGTGCTGCTCTGCTCCCTGTCCTCCGTTCCCCGGGCCTCACCCCTACACCGTCAGCCAGGTCAGGCAGGAGGAATCCTGTGCCACGAAGGCAGCGCGTCTTCAGAAGGTGGCAGGCTGCCCGTGCCCTGCTGACTGGGCCAGAGCGTGGCCTAGGGCCCCACCTGGGCAGGAAAGCCTCCCTTTACTGCCTGTGAGGAGGTCCGAATCAGGGGCACCAAACGCTGGTGCGGAAAGGCCTGGAAGAGTTCTTAACGCCACCTTCATCTCACAGGATGGTAATTTAGGGCCCAGGAAGGAAAGGCCTCTTGGTAAAGAAGGAAAAGCGAGCTTGGAGGGAACGAGAACTGACTGTGGAATCTGGGGCCTCTCGTTCTTCTTGGCTTTCACATACTCTGCGATGGAAAGGCCCTTGGAAAGTCCCAGCCTGATGCCTCAGTTTCCCTGAACGCCTTTAGACGCCCTGCTGGACCTCAGCAGGACAGAAGAGGTGTTCCGGAGCTGTCTCTAGCAAACACCATAGCTTCCGCTGGTCCTCTGAGCCCCCTTGAGCCAGAGTCTCCAAGAAATGGGGGTACAGAGACTTCTAAAGCTTCTGAGTGTCCCTCAGAAGGTAGTTAGTCATAACTAAACCCACCAGACTATAGCTCCCTCACCTGCTCTAGGCTACCCATGCCCCGTCTACAGGGATGAGGCCCTGGGGGCTGGAGGACTGTCCACATGCTGGACCTCTGACCCTAGCGGCCATTGCAAATATCCTTGAGCTGACTACGAACTGGAAACCGCTTCAGGGCGTGGGGTCAGGGGAGGGCAGGTATGCACAGGGAGCTATGCTCTAGACCTGGGCCAAAGCCCCTGGTGGCCCAGCTCCCAGCCCAGCTGTCCATCAGTCCCCAGGGGCAGCCCATCCTCACAAGGGCCCATGAGAATGACGCCTCGTGAGCTCCATGCATAGAGGGAGACCCAGAAAACGGTGGAGGCAAGAGTGAGTGGACCAGAACTTGCCTCTCAGCCAGGACTCTGGGATAGTCAGGGCTCATCTGGGCTGGAGCCAAGGACAGCTGGCCAAGTCCTCAAGGGACCCTCTTCCTCCTTCATTTCCCGGGCCTTCTTCCCATCCCCACAGGCAGTCAGGCTGTTCTGAGGGACAGAAGACTGTATGGCTGCCCGCTCGAACGCAAGAGGCAGGCCTTGCTTGGGGCGCCTGGGTGGCTTAGTCGGTTAAGCGTCCGACTTTCGCTTAGGTCATGATCTCACGGTTCGTGGGTTCGGGCCCCGTGTCGGGCTCTGTGCTGACTGCCAGCTCAGAGCCTGGAGCCTGTTTCAGAGTCTGTGACTCCCTCTCTCTCTGACCCTCCCCTGCTCACGCTGTCTCTCTCTCTCGCCTAGAAATAAATAAAAATATTAAAAAAAAAAAAAGAAATATAAAAAAAAAAAGAGGCAGGCCTTGCTAGAGAAGTGGGAACTACACCCCCCCCCCCCCCCCCGCAACAGAGCCCCATTCACATCCACATTCTCCCCTCTTTGGCCAGAGACTTTTCCAGAGGTGAGATCAATCTGGCCCTCCTTGTCCCTGAGGACCTGTGGGGGTCTGTAGCCTGCTGGCGGGGGCCCAACAGAGCCCACAGGCCTGGACGAGAAAACCTTCTCTCACACTGCCCCAGCCCTGCCTCCTACAAGGGCTTGGTGCGAAGAGAATTCTTTTAAGAGCATTCTCATTTAGGTCCAGAGGGGCTTTAACCAGCCACCCCCATCCCATCTGCAGTTCTCAGGCTGGCCCACTGCTTTGTGCTCATCACTGAGGCAATTAAAATGTGTCTCCCATCAAGATGGCTTTTTCTCCAAGAGTCCAAGTCCACTGCCTTCCCCATTCTGCCTGGTTTTCAAGCCACCCCGGCTTCGCTGTGTCTCTTCTGTTTGTTCTGCGATATTGACAAAGGCCAGATGCAGGAGCCAAAGCCCAGGCAAGTCACTGTGACAAGTGGGAGACAAGTGTGACGCTCCTACAAGGAAGTCGGCTTCCCCCCCAGACTGGAGTAAACGGCCCAGGTTCATCCCGGCTTTTCCGCAGAGCCAGGGGTTAGGAGGAAGGGGCATTCTTTCCTGGCAGCCAGGGGCCTTGTCCAGTCTGACTCAGTCACCAACGCCAGCTCTCAGCCCTGCCCCAGACATGTGACACCATTTGACGAGTTTTATGCAGAAACCGGTTCCGGTTACATTTGAACTTTTCCAGCTCCAAGGTCAAGAGAACTCAGCCAATTCACGAGGAAGTGCCTGGGACTTTTCCTGAATGTCCTTGATGCCTGTTTTTGTGCCGTTTTAGGAACGGAGGACAAGAGATCCCCAGACAGCTTCTCAGAGGAGCGGCTGCTTTCTGCATAACCCACAACAAGCCACAAGTTCCGCGGCTGCGACACAGCCACTGTCCCGACGGCCAAACATCATGGTTCCCTCTGGAAAACAGGCTCCAGAGTTGGAGGGAGACTGAGCTGCCCAGAGGGGGCAGGAAATGTCCGTCTCCTTGGCGGGACACGTGTCCCGGGGTGTCTGTGTGCCTCCTAGTGCTCGCCTGCCTCCCTATCCACTCTCTGCGTGTCTTTGTGTCTGTAGTCTAGCTCCGAGGACAAAGAGAGCAGCCACACCTCTAACTCTTGACAGAGGAGCAGAGGGCTCCCCTCCCGTGGCATCCCGCTCCCCCAATCTGGGCAGGGCAACTGACTCCCTCAGAACCCCAAGCTCTGACTCCTCAGACAGGCCAACCTCACCCCACCTCATCCCTCGCCCCCCTTCACCTCACCAGCCCCACCAGATCCCGTGGTGACCACAGCTCCCGGCCCAGAGGAAGAACCTATTTGCCCAGAAAGAAGAACCTAAATTTTTTTCCTGGAGAACACTCCCTACCACCCCCACTGCTCCAGCGGTGCCCCGCCCCTCCCGAGGGTCCCCTATCTCTCCGAGCCCCCCACCCCGTGAATGCTCTCCCCTCCCTTCTAGCCAGGGAGGAATTTCAGCCACTCGGTCCCTTATCCCCTTATCTCTCACTGTGGAATCCAAGGCCAGGGAGGAGCCGCTATGGGGTGAGGGTGCCGATGGGGCCGGTAGGGAGGGAGGGGGGATAAGGGAGGCCTTTGGGGTCCCGCGAGACCTCTCCCGCCACCCCACCGCCACCAGTGGGCCCTGCTCCTCTCTCTGCCCGAGGCCCGCGGGCCCTGAGGGGTCAGGACAGGAGGAGCCTCCCGCCCAGGCCCGGGCGCCCTCGAGGGTCGCGCCACGGCCTCCGCCACCCCCCCACCCCCACCCCCGGGCGCAGCTCACCTGGTCTCGGGCCTCACGCTGAGCAGGTAGCTGCGGCTGGCCGGGCTGGGGATCCACACCGGCCCGTCGTCGTCGCCGTCGCCGCCCGCCCCGGAGCGCCCGCCCGAGCCCCAGCCGCGGCCGGGGTCCCTGCGCGACCCCATCCTGCCGCCGGCCCCGCCGCGCCCCGCTCGCCTGGCCCCTGCCCCGCTGGCCTCCGCTCCCGCCCGCGGCTGACGCGCGCCCCTATTTATAGCCCCGCGGCCCGGCCGTCGTCGTCACCTGCTGCTGTCCCTCCCCCGGCCCCGGGCGGGCGAGCGCGGCCTCCGAGGCGCCGGGGGGCGCCGGGCCTCGCCCGGGGGCGCCACCCCTCTCCGCCCGTCCGCCCCCCGCCCGGACCCCGGACCCCGGACCCCGGACCTGCGCGCGTGGAGCGCCGCTCACTGCGCCCCGAGCCGCCCTGGCGTCCGCCCGGCCCGGGAGGCCCCCCGCTGTACCCCAAATCCCAGGCCCCCCGGGGGGGGGCGGGGGCGCTTCCCGCCAGCCTTCCTTCCCCGCTCCCGCCGCCCCCTCGCGGGGTGCAAGCGCCGGCCCCGCGGCCTTCGCGCGGTGGAAGGTGCGGACGCACCAGGGAGCTGGGGGAGCGGCCCGGCCCGAGGCCTGGGGGGCCCCTGACTGCTGTTAGCCCGCCCCTTAGACCCACCCAGCTCGGAGGAGTGACCCCAGGAGGCCGGAGCCCCCTGGGTGCGTCTCCTGTTCCCGTCCCTTATCTAGCGCGGATGAAGGGCTCCAAACGCGCTCGGAGAAGAACGGGGCCCCTTCTCCACGCAGCCTCGATTTCCCAGCACCTGTGGGGAACGGCTGACGCCCAGGACACAATCCAACCCGGGCAGCGGCTTCGGAGGGTAAGATTGTAAGCGCCGCCTAAACCTGGTTCTGAATACTGGCGGTGACCAACGTTTGGCCGTCGTTTTTCTCCTTTTTCTACGAAAGCATCCAGAAAGTGACTGGAGCTGGATGGCTATGATCATGAGAAAGTTGGAGCAAAGGAGGGGCGCCTGGGTGGCTCAGTTGGTCAAGCCTCGGGCTTCAGCTCCGGTCATGATTTCTTGGTTCATGAGTTGCAGCCCAGCATATGGCTCTGTGCTGACAGCCCAGAGCCTGGATCCTGATTCGGATTCTGTGTCTTCCTCTCTCTCCGCCCCTCCCCTCCCCCACTTGTTTTCTCTCTCTCTCCCTCCCTCCCTCTCACCCGCCTTCTCAAAAATAAAGACTTTAAAAGATTAAAATAAATTTTATAAAGAAGGTTGGAGCGAAGAGGTGCCACCCCTCTGTCCTAGAAGCTGCATCCATGTACATTCCCAGTCCTTCTGGAATCGGCCCTTCGCCCGCTCTCACTGTGTGGTTCCCACTGCAAATGCCTGCTTCCTCCCTCCTTGACCCCATCCCTGGCCTCAGCTGGCTGGCAGCTGACTCAAGCCAGCCTATTCATGGTACCCACTCCCCGACCACAGAGGTAAGCATCACGCCCAAGCCGTGCCAGTCCGCGTTCTTCACCAAAATGCTTTCAACTGGAATTGGGAGAGAAAAGCAGCCTCTCTGTGCTGCAAAGCTGGAAGCTGGGAGGTCTCCGCTTTCAGCAGCCATGTTTCCTGCCTGGTGGAGGAGGCCAGTCTGCAGTGAGGGAGACTAGAGCTGATGGAGAGAAGCAAAAGCCAGGGGCTCGGAGTCCTGATGGCCTCCAGGCACGCTGTGTTCCCAAGATGCAGCTTTGTCTCTGAACTTGCAGGTTGGCAGTTCAAACATGTCATGGAATCGGGGTACCCAAAGTTCTGCTCACGCCCCTCCAAATGAGGCTTTTGTTGGTAGAATGTGAGTCCTCACCAATACTCAGGCAGTTTCCCCAGTGAGGCCGAATCCGCCTCCCAACCACACGCCCCCGTTTATCCTTGCTGCTGGCACTCTGCAGGTGCACGTATTAAACTCTCTTCGATCACCTGTAAGACGGTCCTCCACATATTTTGAAGCTTGCTGGGAGTTTTGGGGCATTTGTTTAAGTTGTGTGAACACCATGGGTCAGGCTAGGGCAATGTGCTGCAGGCAGGAGCCATAGGCTCTGTGCTTCCAGAAACCTTTTGTCAAATAGGAGAGACTGGCAAAGAAGCAAAACGCAGTGCCGGTGAAGCGCACCATTATAGAACTGTAAAAGTATAGAGCAAAGAGTGGGCTGCGGGGGGCTTTGGTTGGGACAGCTCACGAGGCGGTAAAGCTCGAGAAGGATTTTGAAAATTGCATAGGTGCCCACCGCGTCGACTGTTGGTGGGGGAGGGGAGAGGGATAGACAGAATATTCCAGAGGGAGGGACTAGCATGGGCAAAGATGTGGAGGTACACAATAATCCGGTGGGCTTCTTGCGCGAGTGTAAAGGAGACGGGGAAATGAACGATTAGGCAGGGCCAGTTCCGGAAGCTTTCACCTGGTACACTGAGAGGCCTAGGCTTCCCTTCCAGCCCATCTCTCACAGGACCACGGATATGGCACCGCTAGCCACCCCGGTGGCCCTCCAATCTATCAATTTCCTTTGGGAAATGTGACCCACACAGAGGTCGCTCACAGCAGCCCGTGACCGAATCAGCACCTCTCTGGGTTTGTGCCCCATGCCCCAGCAACGGCCCTTCCGCACCCAAATTATTTCATTGGCCCTGCGCCTGTACGTGTTCAGCGTGAACCACCGCTCACCTAAGTCTTTCCCACTCCTGCTTGTAAAGTCTTTTTTAATCCTAAGGGCAAACTTGTGCCTTTTTCTAGTTAAAGCTCATCTTCTTAATCTCGCACTCCCTTTCCTTCTTGTCTGAACCGTTTTGGGTTCTGCTCCTGACAGCTGGTGTCTTTCCAGCTTCTTGAGGTTATCTGTCAACTTAATATGCAAGACTTTCATGAGGACGGAGGCAGAGCTGAGGAAGGGGTGCCAGGACACCCACGGGTGGAGAGGGCAGAAAGGCACGATCTCTTTCCTCTCTAAGCGTACAGTCTAGCCGGGGAGAGAGAGAGAGCATGTCGAGTGGGGTCAAGCAAGTCCTAGGCTGGGAGTCCAGAAACTCAGATTCTAATTCTCCTCTCCCGCTGAATGTGACCTTGGCAATGGCTCCCCGTCCCTGAGTTTTAGCTTTCTCCTTTGGAAAGAGGGGTGAGGCATCTACTTTGTGATCCTGGAGGGCGTAGGGGTTCATTCAGCAAGTGTTTATTAAGTACACGCTGACTGCCGCACGCCAGGCATCATGCCAGGTGCTGAGGGTACAGGGATGAATGTTCTAGTCTGGACCCTGGAGAACCTCTCCAGTGGAAGGAAGATAGAGCCTCTGAGAGAAGTTTGCACATGGTGCCGAAAGAGCACAGAGAAGCTCACGCCATGGTTTTGCATTTGGAAATAATCATAATCCAAGGTTTGCTATGAGATGCGCCCACTGATAAAGTGTTGCCGGAATCTGCTAGTGGCGCCAGGACCCTCTTCCCCAGTCGTTTTGAACTTCCCAGGGCCCTAGAGTAATGGGTGCTTGTGGTAGGAAAATCTTGAGCTACTGTTTTTTTGGGTTTTTTAAGTTTTGGTTTTTTTTTTCATTTTGAGAAGGAGAGAGTGCAAGCGGAGAAGCGGCAAAGAGAGAGGGAGAGTCCTGAGCAAGATCCATAGTGACAGCGCAGAGCCGGACGTGGGGCTCGATCTCACCAACATGAGATCGTGACCTGAGCCAAAATCAAGAGTCGGGTGCTTAACTGACTGAGCCACCCGGGTGCCCCTTGGGCGACTATTAATCAACCTGTTTAGCTCAGCAATAACTGGGCAAGTTGCCCCCTGTCAAAGAGGGCCAGGGTCTCTCCCAGGACCCTCTGGCCCGACTATATTAGCCCCTCTCATCAAGGTCTAGAAGGGTTTGGACACACCTTTCATTTCAACTTAGTTCCATCTCTTCCCCTGCCTACTCAGCTCTCTTTCTTCCAACACTGACAAAAGTCAGACAGAACGACCTGCTCTCCTCTGAAGCATGGGCCCAAAGCATACGTTACCCAGCATTGATTAGCCCTCAAGACACCATTCCACGTTCCTCACCATCTTCCCCCTGAACTTACTGCGTTCGGGCCACCGCACCCTGAGTGTCACTGTGATGGCTCCAGTCCCCTGCCGTCATCCCTGCCTTTCTGAGAACTCAGTCATCACACTGGCAGCAGGTCCACCGACCCCATCCTCTCAAAGACCTTCACCCCCACTTGCCTTTAGCATCAAATGTCCATCCCTTGAACCGAGTCAGAGGAATTTCTCCAGCTCTAAAATGCCATTTTGTTATTATCTTTCCACCTACTAAGCTTGCCTCTGCCTTAGGACAACTCTAGACTCCCAACTCCCCCCCACTGCTCATGAGTTTCTTCTTGGCGTCTTTATCCACCTCACCCCATCCCCGTCTACACACAGGCATAGTGTGGGGTGGACAATAGCTTCAACTGCAGCTACGCTTTCCTCAGGGATCCTCTTTCACTTGCCCCTTGACCTTGTACTAAATCTGCCTTGCCGGCTCCTAACCAGGGATCTGGCCGTGGCTTCTCGCTCCGAGGCCGGCCAACGCTTCTGGTGTCCAACCTGAGCCCGGTCTCAGGCAGCTTGGCAACCCTTTCCCAATTCCCCAAGCTGACCTTTTCCCTTCCCTGCTGCCGAGGTTCCAAACAAGATTCCAAGCTCCCCTTCCCCCTCCTCACCTGCAGTGGTCAGCAGGGCAAAGTGGCAGCATCGGGCAAGAACTTCAGCCTTGAAGGAAGACAGGCTATCTCTACCATCTCTGAGTCATACAAACCTCTGCTTCGAAATGTACCTTGTCCTTCCCAAGGCTCTCGAACTTCTGCTCCGTCAGCTCTCCCTGCCCTCCCCTGCCCAGCCTCCTTCCTCACCGCCCATGAGGATGACAAAAGGTTTGCTTTTTCCAGACATATTTATCCTGTCTTTCCCTTCCCTCCCTGCCTTGGCATCTCAAAAGAGCTCGAAGGAAACCAGGCGCATTATCAAGCAGTAATGAGTTGCCACGATTGGGTTATAAAGTGCAAGCTCTGGCCTCCTGGAGACACAGACCAACGGCCAGAGCTGCAGCGGGGTCAGAGTCAGGCCTGCCCCGCAAGAGTGGCCAGATGCCAGCCCCTGAGGGCTACAGTGGAGGCCCTGGGGGTCAGAGCCGGCTCCCTGGCCTACGCCTGAGTGGCAGAAGATGTGACCCCAGCCGTGTGGAAGGGAGGAAATGAGGGAGAGGGCAGGGAGGCAGGGATCCCCCAGGGTCAGCAGAGTCATCGTGTAGTATCCCCTCCACCTCTCACTGGGAATACGCTACGCCTCCAGGCAGCCCATTTCATTTTCAGGAGGATTTTCCTCTTATCGAGTCCAATTCTGTCCTGCCCTCTGAGGCCACAGAGATGACCCGTAGCCTTGACTGACCATGGAGCACCTCTTCTCTTGATGAAACTTCGAGTTCCTTCAACAACTCCTTGAAGGAAATGGCACCGAGGGCCCTACACCGGGCCAGACGCTCCGTCCTGTGAACATGTCCGCTTTGCCAGTGTCCGCCTTAAGCTACTGTGCCATGAACATCACGCTGCACACGTGAGCTCTTCTGGGCTCAGTACAACTATCATCAACGTCGTTCTAGTCAGGATCTTATTTTGCTTTTTGGCGCCTGTGTGGACGCGGGCTGAAGTAGCCTTTTCCACGAGCCACGGCACAGGGAGTGAGTTCAGAGGTCAGTGAGGCCTTCCTCGGGAAGCCACGGCAGCTTCCACTCCATGCTTCCGAGCCCCTCGGGCCTGTGGCCCCTCTCAGGGCAACTCATTAGTACCATGGTAAGTTAGTCGAACACATGTCCACTTTCTTCTTTCTGTTCTTCCCTCTTTTGATTCCACTCATTGCAAAGGTCTCAGCCCTGAGCTCAGCAAAGCCCCGGATTTCGGCTTCGCCTGCCCTCCCGTGAGGCCCTCTGCTGCAAGCTGTCCTTCCCGCCAGCCAATCTGCAGTGCCCTGGACGGCTTGTCTGGCCTTCCCTCCAGCCCCCCCCCCCGGCCCCCCGCCAAGCCCCTGACCCTGGAGGGGTGGAGATCCCAGGTTCTCCCTCTCTGGTGAGCTGGCCACGCTGGCTGCCACTGCAGGGACTAGAGATGTGGCCGCATCTGCGCCGGGGTAAGTGAACACCAATTATAGGATTACTGGCTACGAGAAGCCACTCCTGATTCTGGTTTGATTGGAAGGGGAATTTGGGACTTGGGTAGAGCTGCCCCAGCTGGGTGCCCTCCCCAGTGCACCTACTCTCATTCCACATGGGCCCTGTCCAGAGGCCATCATGAGATGAGAGGGTGAGTCTGTGGTCAGGCACAGGGCACTCAGGCCCACGACACAAACTCCACACCCGCGGAGCGACGGGGAACCCCTCCCCACCCCCGCAGCCTAGGCCTCTCTGGGTCTTCTTGCAGCACAGGTCGGTAGGTCCTTCTCCTCCCCTTCAAGTCCTTCTCTAGGGACCCTCGCGTGTCTCAGCCAGCGGCCCGTTCCACAGCAGCTACATCTTCTCCGCCATTTGCAACTGTTACTACCTCTCAGTAACAGTGGCTGCCAGGACTGCTCACCCACAGGGCGCCACTGATCATTTTTAAGATCATTTCCCAGCTTGCTGGCACCCACGGTGTTTCCCCGTAACGGACCGCTCCTCGCGTGCGAGCCCATCACCACCACCACCCTCGCCCGCCAGCAGAGTCAAGTGCCATCTCCAGGCTCTAAACCCTCCAGCTGCCCAATGCTCCTCCCTGCCCTCCACAACCTTCTACCCTTTCCTTGCCATCCCCTCCCCCTTTCCCACCTCGGCTGCCTCCCCCCACCCCTCCCAACCCCATTTGGAAATCATATTCAAAGCCCTCCTGCAAAGCCTCCATCGTAGGCAAAGAGCTTCTCAGGAAGCAAAAAACCTACCCTCCTCCTCAGATACAAAAAATATTCAGCCCTGTCTACGCACCATGGGTCCTAGGGAGAAATTCCAAGCAAATTGATCTAAGGACCAGAAAGCCCCAGAGGAAAATAGGAATTGTGCACACAGCGTGCCATGGGCTATAGCTGGAAAAGGGAGGCTGAGAAACAGTGGAGGTGCCGAGTTCCATAAATGAATGCCCCATCGAGGAGCGGCTGAACCAGGCTTCACACATCAAAGGCATGATCAACTATCCCCATCTTCACAGAAAATAGAGGCAAAAGCTACACACACACACACACACAAATACCATGCCCACCTACGAAGCGATGGTACAGCTGGCCCTGTCACGTGAGCTCTCACGAGGATGGGGGCTTTTCCCAGTTAGAACTGACTTAAGTGGCTTTATCATATCCTTATGCCCCATTTTCCATACAATCAATTATATAGATATTAACTTTCTTTTTTGGGGATCCATGCACTAAAAACTCAATTTCAATTTGCAATAATAAATACGAAAATAAGAGCATTTTAAAAGGTCAATGCAGGACACAATGAACTAGCTCAAGAATTCATCTGCACCCAGGTCCCTAATGAAAAGATACCTAAGTAACAGAAGGGTCAGAAGACGCTTTAGAATTATCATGTGAACAGTTCAAACTTGGAAAGGTCTGACAAAAGCCAAAAGAAAGAGGTATTCAGAGAAGAGCCAGACTCTGTCTGAAAAAGTTTAAATCTGACGGAAATGATAATATAAATAAATGCAAACAGGTGATACTGCCTTGGGGGAGGGGGTGGAGAGGGATCAGTTCCATTCTGTGTGACTAAGGACCAAAAGTCAATAAATAAATAAAACAATTGAACAGGAGCAGAAATGCAATTGAGAATTCTTGCCTTTAGGGAGGTCTCCTCTCTTCTGACATAAACCTGTGAGGAACAACAGATAAAATCTAGCCAGGCTCAGGGTCTCCAGAGATTTAAGCAAACACACACCCCTCCCCCATTTGACAGATGGGGGTACTGAGGCCAAGAAAGATCAAACAACTCAGTTATAGAGCTTCTGGGTTCCAGTCACTGGCTTTCTTCTATCACATTGCCAGGGGGTTCAGTCAAGAAGAGCAGAGGTAACCCTCTGAGGAAATAATCCTGCAGAAACAAAAGGCTGTATGTACGGAGGTGGGGGCGGGGGGGGAGGTGGGGGGAGCAGGGCGCCTGGGTGGCTCAGTCGGTTAAGCATCCGAGTTTGGCTCAGGTCATGATCTCGCAGTTCGTGGGTTCAAGCCCCGCGTCGGGCTCTGTGCTGACTTCCAGCTCAGAGCCTGGAGCTGCTTCAGATTCTGTGTCTCCCTCTCTCTCTGACCCTCCCCTGCTCACGCTCGCTCTCTCTCTCAGAAATAAATAAAACATTAAAAAAAATTTTTTTTAAATGTTAAACAGGAAATGGTTTAAGTAAATTATGTTGATTTGAAAATGATTACAATGATTGAAAATGAGGATTTAAGGGCTATGTAGAAACATGGAAAATACCCAGATATAACGTTAGGTAGAAAAAAGTACGGTACAGAATCAGAAGCAAGGTAGCGCTGCTCACACCTTAGTGAATCCCGGCTCCACCCGCAAAGAGCTCTGTGGCCTTAGGGAAATTACTCAACCATTCTGAACCTCCAAAGAATCCTAATATTTTGAGTTGTGAGCCTACATAAGAGAATGAATGGGAGAATAACGTCTGTCATATGGAAATATTCGATTTCCGGTTGTTATTAAAACATATTGTATTCAACTATGAGCTGAACAAGGGTCCAGTTGGAAAAGCAGCTGTAAAGGACTGGAAACTGATAAGGCAGAAATAAAAACAAATGCAAAAGTTAAGATGGGATTATAAATACGCATATTTTTTATTTTCTCTAACAATGTGATGTCATTTTCTAATAAGAAAAAGGCATTTTAAAAAAAAAGAAAGAAAAGATAAAGGCATTTTAAATAGGGACCTCAAGAGAAACCCCTATTCTTGGGACCCGGCTCTTAGTTTGCACTTTCCTCCAGAGGGGCCAGGGCTCCCAGCTCCTGGTTCCTGAGGTCACCGTGGCATCTGTTCTTGGAAAAGGTGGAGAGAGGCCTAAATCCCTTGGAAAACACAGCAGGGGGCGGGGTGGGGGCGGGGCGGTTGCTGGAAGGGTGAGGACATAGCACATCCTAGAATCCAGAACATTCTGTCTTGCTCAGAACAGACCCTGAGACAACTTTGCAGTGACCAGGTGAATGAGAGTCTTTCATTCCCTCCTGCATACGTGTGTGCACTCACTCACTCACTCACTCACTTGAACACTCTTTGGACCGCTACTGATTTCAAGGAACTGTGTGAGGAGCATTCAAAGAATTAGACTGACCCGCTGCATGAACTTGAAACATTCTCCATCGGAAGTGAAAAAAAGCAAGCTTCAGAACACTGCATAGAACGCTACTGTTTGTATTAAAAATAGATATATAAATATACATATTTATAAACTTGTAAATGCATAGAATTGCTCAGAAGGGGTACACAGGATCTAGGGAACAGTGATTAGTTCTGGAGGTGGGCTGGGGACTGAAGGCTGGCCTCCGACAGGAAGCTTACTTTTCGCTGCATACTCACTCTTTTGGATGTCTTACCATGTATATGTAGTAATTTTTCAAAACAACAACAACAACAACAAAAAATTTAAAAACGAGTCAAAGAAAGTGCGCCCAGAGCGGAATATACAGTGGTGAACGGGACAGGCGGGGGGTTCCTCTGTCTCGGGGAAGGCAGAGTGTGTGCAGAACTCGCTAAGCCACGACTGTTAAGTTTTCAAAACCAGACTGTTTACATAAGTTAAGGGAACAGTTCTTTCTACACCAATTATAGTAATTCAGCACATCATTTTACAGAGATAAAGCAGGTGGAAAATAAATACGAGTCATTTGTCAGGACTTAGAGTGTATTAGGTTGTCGTTTCTACAAGGGTGGGGATCTTATCTGTTTAACTTGATCAGTAGAGCCGCCACTCCGGCTAATGTGCAGATAAGTGCTTGTTACAGCAAGCGTTTTCTGATGATAACAAACGATATGATAGCACACCCATTAAAAACATCTGAAAAAAAGAAAAGATCAGAAGATATTGGACCCTGAGGGAACCATGTTTTCTGGGACGGTTCCCCCCCTCACCCCCACCGAAAAATAGTCTCCAAATGCAAGGTATGCCCGATGTGAATGAAAGGTCGTGGAGACACTGCCTGGGCTGCAGAATGTCACACACACAAGTTTTGCACAGGGCTCTCCTTGGGGTGACTCGGAGCGGACTGACTCCAAAGAGAACGGGGCGCTCAGTGGGGCACTCCGACCACAGGGGAGGTAGGAAAGCAGGCATGTGGGTGGCTGCAAAGTGCCGACGAGCAGCCGGGGCACTGAGGTGGCATGGGGGTTGACACTGCGGCCTCGAGGACCCCACAGGCTTGACTCGGCACCAGCGCTTACAGGTGGCCCAGCAGGTTATCGGAGATCCCTGTGAGGACCCCGTGGAAACCACCAGAAAGTATTTAGCAAGATGCGGGGCGCGCAAGCAGGGCCTGAAGGGCCCTCATGGTCACTGCTGCTACATGATGGATACATGTCCCGGGCAAGTCATCACTGACCGGCCGCATCCCAGCCTGAACGGCAGGTAAGGGGCGCCCCTCCCTCCGTGCCCTAAAGGCAAGAACCGCTTATGTCCACGTAGTGTTTCACAAACTTAGAAAAGGTTCCACGCACCTCATCCCATGAAAGCCTGTGAAGCAGGTTGGATGGGAATCACCAGGACTATCCAGGAGGGGGGTGGGCAGTGAAGTGAGGGGCTTTGCTGAGAGCTGATCAAGGGCAGACCCCAGGGTGTGGGCCAGGTTTCCTGTGAGGAGCTCAGTCTTTCCAGCCCACACCAGTCCCAGGAAAGAGCTAGATCTGGGTCAGGACGGGTGGTCGAGGCCGCAAGGTGGCCATGCCCTCCCCCACTCTGCCCACCACTGTTTCCGAGCAGGCAGAGAGGCAACAATCCATCTCAAACCCTTCTCAGAGCCTCCTCCGTGATCTGCACCTGTGAACGGACCACAGGGTGCAGGGTGGGCCCCTCGGTGAACTGGGGAAGGGACGACAGCCGACGTGGGGTGGCCTCAGGCTCTGCGGGCGGTGGCCTCAGGCCCACCTTGCCTCACTGCCTGCCTGGGAAGCAGGGACAGCAGAGTCTCCTGGAAACTGAGGCACACTCTAGCGGTTCCCTGCACCATTCGCATTTCCGCTAAAACTCTGGCATTTGACAGAAAATGTACCTTTTTTCGATTGTGAGGCCAGGCGTGCTGATCTGACAACTGGTAGTCACTGTGTGCCTCGCAAGGGCACCTGTGAGAACTCAGCGGGCACTGCTCCCCTCTGCGGCCCAGGACGCGGCTGGGCCCAGACCCGCACCCTGGCCACGCAGTGCCGCAGCAGTGGCTCGGGTCAGAGCTCCAAGGGCACCTCCACAGGGCCCCGACTCTGCCAGCAGTGAAGACAGCCCAGCCGCCCGTCTGACCCCAAATCTCCGCACCCGAGAGTTCCCTGAGGCAGCGGCGCAGCTCACCGGTACACAAGGTGGGCACAGAACGCCCCTGCGATCCTCGCCCGCCCCACGGCCGCCGGTTGGTAGGAAGGGTGGAGGTGCCCAGAACATTTCAATGGGCCCTAATGCCAAGGCTGCTGACCCCGGGAGACCTTGAGGGTGACCCCTGACCAGTAGGAAGACCCTCCCCTCACGCCCTTGCGAGGTTTCTAGAGGACCAAGTTCCACGCTCCTGGTTTCCTAACCACAGCTCCAGAGTCCAGACAGGACTGTGCTGGGGCAGCAGGACACGGCTCCCCCAGAGACGGGACAGCCACAGGAGGGGGGAGGGGCTCTTCCGTGGAGCAGGGTGGGGCCAGGCTCACCTGAAGAGGAATACAAGAGCCCACCTGCACGGTAAGAAGATTTTTTATTTGAAATATCGTCTGAGCAACATGAGTGTAGCCAGGAGGGGGAGGGGCCGGCCAGCCTGGAGCGGCAGCCTCTCTAACGGCACAGGAGTGGGGGGGACAAGGATTCCGACGCCCGTGTGCCCCCAAGCCCACTTGTCAGGAAAGGCGGGACAGCAGCAGACTGGGGGCGCATGGCTCTTCCTGGAGGGGTCTGTCTCCCGGCGCCTGCCTGCCTGGGCCGCGGCGCCTGCTCTCCCGGGGCCCAAACAGACGTGTGCCGCACAACCTTCTCCCACCCACGCAGACAGGAGGGGCTGGGGTGACACTTCTCCAGGACTGTTTTTCGGGAAAAGAATCCGAAGAAGACAGGAAGGGAGGGCAGGGTGACTGGGGGCTCCCCAGCAGGCCAGCCCGGGCGGAGGTCCCCAGGAGGGCCGCGCCGGCACCCTCACCCCGTCTCTGGCTCTGCGGGCACGAAGCAGAGCAGCCGTCTGCAGCCCTCGGGGGCTCCCAGGAGAGCCCTGGCTGAAGGCCGCAAGCGGGGACCCCCGGAAGAGCACGGCACCGAGGGGTCCCGAGCCGAGGTGACAGTGCTGGGGCCGGGCCACGTACGCGGCCTGGGGTTGGAAGGACACAGACAAGAGCTGGGGTACCAAGAAGCAGCACAAAGCCATAAATAACAGAAGCGAATTCAGAGCTGTCAGGGTCCTGGGTGACCGCACGCTGCGCGGGGCTGGGGGACACCCAGGCCCCCGCAGCTCAGGGCAGACACTGCCCCAGGGCACCCCGGGGCAGAGCCTTGCATTTCCCACCGTCCCCGCGGAGGACAGGGGACGCCGGGGCACTCCTCCAGCCTCCAGTCACACCTGAGGGGACGGGGCGTGGCTGTCCTGGTCCTGAGGGGCCTGTGGTTGACTCTGAGGATCTTGGGCTCCGTCCTCCGCAGGAGCCGGGCCCAGTGACCTGGCCTCTGTGTCGCCCAACAAAGGCTCTCCGGCACATTCTTCCAGTCCGTTCTCCCTGGTCTCCATGGACACTTCTTCCCCGGAGCCCTCCGCTGCCTCCGCCGCCTCCACCGCCTCGGCTGCGGCCTCGGCCTCCTCCTCCTCCTCCTCCTCCTCCTCCTCCTCCTCCTCCTGGTCTCTCACCTTGTGGACGATGAAGAGGTGGCGGCTGAGGGAGCCGGCAGAGGTGTAGCACAGGCCGCAGAGGAGGCACTGGGCCGTGGAGCTGTCCACCTGGTGCTGAGGTATGTGGCTCTGAAACTCGAGCCCCGAGTCCGTGGCGAAGCTGCACTTGGCGCATTGGAACAGCGCCTTGTGCCGTTTGGTGGAAGAGGCGGCCGTGCCATTGCTGGTGCTCGCAGCGTCCCCGGCTCCGCTGCCTGGTCTTTTCAGATGACTCACCTGGGGGGGCGGGGTGGACACAGGGTGAGCAGAGGCCCGAGCCCTGTGCCAGAGCCGCACACCGGGAACAGTGCAGCCCCCGGACTCGCAGAGTCACCCCAACCCCCCGCACCCGCCACCGCACCGGGGGCCGGGCTCACCGTGGCCCTGAACACGGGCCTGGATCCGGTTTCTCTCGGGTTTTCCTGGTGGCTGGTGCCGCGTCTAATGTAACGTACACACGTGACACCACATTCCAAAGACACGGGAAGGGCACAGTCTCTGCTCTCCAGAGGACACCCCCCCACCTGGGCTCTGGGCTCCTCCAAGAGACAGCCTATGTGCGCACAGAGATAAAACTGTTGTCTCTGGGGCGCCTGGGTGGCTCAGTCGGCTAAGCACCAACTCTTGTTTCTGCTCAGGTCGTGACCTTGAGGTTCATGAGATTGAGCCCCGCATCGATCTCTCCCTCTCTGTTCCTCCCCCCCGCTCACGTGCTCTCTCAAAACAAATTTAAAAAAACATTTTTTTAAAAGACCATTGTCTTCTACGAAATGATAGCACTACACGCACGCTCTTCTTCCCCCTGCTTTTTCTCGTGAACGAGATGTGCTGGCCACCGTCTGTGTGCGGGCGCACAGAGGCCTCCCCCCCCCCCCGCTCACGCTGGCTTGCTGACCGTTGGGCGCAGGGTGCCCGCGGGCGGACTTGGGTTGTGCTCCATCATTACCGCTGCGCACACCCCTGCAGGGACGGTCATGCACGTACCTCCTCGTGCCCAAGGCTGAGGACACAGGGCGGGTAAATTCTCAGGACAGAATGCTGGATCAAAGGGCACGTGCACTTGGAGAGGGGTGTGCATTTTAATCACAGACAGATGTCACCAGAATGTCAAGTGACACCCCACCTGCTGTGTGTGGAAGGGCCTGCCGACCAACACCCTTCTCTGAGTAGCCAAGAAGGAATGCCCCGGAGTCCAGGCGGCTCTCAGAGCTCCCCCGACATGCCCGACCCTCTGAGGGGCAGCCCTCCCTACCACGGAGCAGGAAGCCTACGGTGAGGGGGAACCAAGCTGTTCTAGAAGTTCAGCAGAAATAACGGGAATAGGCCATGGAATGGGGGCAAGGTCATAGGATGAAGGCCCAGGCTAGCAGGTGCCTAGGCCTGGCCCCTCCCAAAACGAGTGTGTGTGTGTGTGCACGCGCGTGCACATGTGTGTAAGAGACACTCATTGCGTCCTCGCCTCACAGGCAGCCCTGCCCCTTCCCCCCGACCCAGGACTGGTGGGGAGAAGCCGGACGGTGAGTGTGAACGCACTCCGGCGTCCACACAGCTGAGGAAGGCGTCCCAGTGGCAGGGGAACCACGGGAACCAAGGCTGGTGGGCGGTTTCACAGGTGTCTGTCCCTGTCCTTTACCCGTAGATGGTCCCCAGGTGGGTCACGCTGACTAGAGAATGGCCTACACTGAGGGAAGCGGTCGCTGGTGGTCGTTCCCGGAGCCCTTCTGCTGCCCCGCAGCTCCGGGGGCTCACTGAGCAAGCGGCTCCAGGGCCAGGGCCCCCGCGCTCACCTGAGGGGACTGTCCGCCCGGAGGTCTGCCTTTGGACGTCTGGCTCAAATCAGGGTTTCTGATCCCGTGCATGAGGCTGATGTGGCTCTCCAGCAGGGAGGGCCGAGGAAAGCTGGGGCTGTCCTCCGTGCAGTACCTGTGGCCAGAGAGTCCGCGTGAGAGGACAGGCTACGGGCCCGCCTGGCTCCAGGGAAGAGAGAGTCCGGGGCAGAGAGCCGGCTGGGCAGCGCAGGGCTCCCCAGAGAAGGCCGACTGGCGAGCCAGCTACGGCGGCAGACAACAGCAGGGCAGGACTCGTGCGCCGGCCCTAGGCCTCCATCTTACTCTCCACTCCCTGACGCCACTGCCCGGGGGCCCAAGTGCCAGCAAGGAAGAGGCCAGGCTACGTCCCAAAGCACAGACATGATGCGGAAGCCTCTCCGCCAGACCGGGCACAGCGACACCGCCACCCCTCCTTCAGAGCGGCGGGCAGAGCCGCCCAGGGTCAGGGAGGTACGAAGGGGGAGGGCTCAAGAGCTACCAGGTTCTAGAAGCTAGTCTAGCAGCCCTTCCTTCTGACTTAGCCACAGCATTTTCCCATTAGAAACTCGTGTATCTCTTGCCTCCGACTCCTGATCTCACAGCAGAGAAAAGCCATGGACAGTCTTTTTGAATTTCAGGCCTCCTGGCTCCTACCTCCCAGGACTCACCCACAAGTGTAGACCTTCTTCACGGTGTCGTGGTTGTTGCGGATGTGTTTGCGCAGGCTGTTGGGGGTGTGGAAGGACTGCTCGCACTGCCGACACGGGTACCGCTTCAACGTCTACGGGAGAGGACGCATCAGAGCCGTACGACTGTTCTGCGTGTAAGTTTCCACCCGGGCGATGTAGGCAGAAGGGGGTGGGCAAAAGACCTTGGAATCTGCGGTGCCCACCCTGCCCGAAGCACCGGGAACCCTGAGGGATCAGCCACACAAGGGGGCCCTGAGCCCGCAGGACACAAGTCCAGAGAGCCTGGCACCGCACTGTGACCACGTGATGACACGTACCCGACCGTGGCTCTTCTTCATGTGGGACACGTAGTTCTCCCGGTCAGGAACCCACTCCTGACACTCCTGGCAGGTCCAGCCGGTGCTCCTCAGCCGGGGCCTGGCCTCGGCCCTGCGGTGGGTCTCGGGCCTGCCCCAGCGGCCAGAGGGCAGGGAGCCGCCCCGGGCCGCCGCACTGGCGGCCTGGGGCTCAGTGGGAGCTCGAGAGCCAGGCCGGCTGGAGGCCGTGTCCGCTGAAGACTGGAGGCTGGACAGCTCGTCCACGTTTCGGGGAACACCGTGGGTGCTCTGGGGATGGGGAGAGCGGTTACTGACTGGGCGAGGGGAAAGAGGCACAGAGTCAGACCCCGGCCTGAGGCGCATGCCCCCCTGCCCGGCCCCCCTTCCCTGGGCCACCCACCTTGACGTGCTGCATCAGCTCCGGCTTCTGCAGGAACAGCAGCGGGCACTCGGGGCACTTGAAGACGCCCACCTGGCTCTTGCTGGCATTCTGGTAAAAATGCTGCTGAATGTGTCTCTTCTTGTTGAAGACCATTTCACAGGAGCACTTATAAATGAGCCTGCCGAGACAAGCCCCGGGGCGTGAGGTGGCCAGGCTCTGTGGGCACAACCTCCACCCCAACTCTGCTCCCTCTGAGCCGGGCTCCGCTTTCCAAAAGCACTACTCTCAGCCGATGGGGATATTCCCCTGCCTCAGGATGTCTTCAGTGACCTCCGGGCACCTCTGCTGCCAGCCCCGGCTCCCGGGCCCGTCCCAGCATGTCCCCCCGCAGCACCCAGACCCCCGAGCCCCACCCACGGGCCTGCTGACCCTGGAGCCGCACTCACTGGGAGGGTCTGTGAGGCTGGGTGGGGTGCTGAGAGGTGGTGTGGTCCGCGGTGCTGCTGGCTGTCTTGAAGGCCATGGGGCAGAATGCACATTTGTGGAAAACCTGGCAGTGTCGCTCCTGGATGTGGCTTTTCAGCAAGGCCAAGGTCAGGTGGACGACCCCACAGTGGATGCACCTGGATAACAGGAGTGGTGGGGGTGTGGGGGGAGGGGTGTGTCAGACCCAGAAGTAGTGCTGGAAAAGGAGGGATGGAGGGCAGGGACAGAGCCACTGCGGGGACTCTGGGTCCCCGTCCCCGGAGCACTGTCTTCCACCTGCCTCACCTGTGCCCTGAGAGCCTGCCTGCTGCCATCTGGCACAGGGTGGTCACCCAGGGCGCCCAAGCCTAAGGCTACACCTGGTGGAGAAGGGGGAAGAAACACACCCCTCCTCTCACTGGCCAGAGAATATGCTTCTGCAAACCAAAAATCTGAGCCCAGCTGAGAGAAGCTGGCGAGAACGGAGAGGGAGAGGAATGGTTCCAAAATGACACAAACAGCATCCTTTGAAGTGTGACACGGCGGCAGGGGCCCAAGGGGGAATTTCGGGAGGACCCCACAGGAAGCCCGTGCCTTCCCACAGGCTAGCACTGAAGGTGTGGGGATGGCCGCTTAAAATAAAAAGCGCAGCTAGAAATGCAGTGCACATCACAGCGACAAGCACAGTCAAATGCGCAGCCCTCAAAGCCCAGGAAGGACCCCCCAGAGCAGCCCGGCCCAGGGGGGCTTTGGGGACAGTAGGAACGCTCTATACTGTCCTGGCCACACGGCAATTTGGATGTGAATAAAATAAACTACGGTGGCCAGTCATGCTGGCCACATTTCAAGGGCTCGACAGCCAGACATAGCTGGTACCATTCTGGACCATGTGGCTCATGACTATCAGAGTGACAACTTGGTGGCAAGGTGGGTAACTTTTTACTTCTCCCAGGTTGTACTTCCTGAGCTGTGTTTAGTGAATATGTCGCTTTTATAACGTATGAACAGTCTTCAGCCATTTTTTCTGAAACTGAGGCATTCTGAAACTTTCAACTTCAAAATCTCTTTCTCTCAACACTGTCTTTCCGTTTCTCAGTATCACAGGACTAAGTGACCTCTGCACCATCCTGCATCCATTCCAGTGCTAGACCCTCCTGCCTCGACACACACCCAGGTCTCCCCTCCGTGAGAAGACGCCTTCTGCTCCCAGCTGTTCCTCTCAAGGTAACTCCTATCTCCCTTGTGTTGCAGGATTACCTGACCCTGTAACCCTGACATCCCAGTAAGTGCCAGAAGAGAGGCTATTGCTTCCCTGAAAAAAAGGACATGACCTCACTTAAAAATTCTTTGACTCTCAAATATAACCCTTCAATTCACTACATTAGCCCGTTTTCACAGTCCATGTAAATCATCACAGAATCCTACCTAGTCCTTTATGTTTTTCTTCCTTTCGTGTGTGTTTGCGGGGTGGGAGGGAGATGGGACCCCCTTTGCAAGCTTAATCAGCTACAAGAAGCAACCCAAAGAACCAGAAAGCTGTTTGCAATGATCTCTGAGGTGCACTCATTAGTAAATTTGTACATTCTTTAAATTAAGAGTTTCTAATGCAAACTACTTAATTATATGTTCTTTTCTCTCCTGCTAAACAAAAGAGTGACCAACTTCTAGCACATGAAGTGCTCCTATTCCACAAGGCATCATAAGTAGAAAAAAAATCCACATATTTCCAAATTCATCCAAAGCAGCCAAGTACAGCTGACATGTGGAAAGAATCTTAAGTAACTGTATTTGTGCAGTTTGACCAAACTTCAGCAGGAGCAATATAAATATACTCTTCAAAAATGCAACTGAAAATCCATTCTATTTACCTCATAGACATTCTTCAAAGAAATCTCCATGAAAGTAAAAACATAAAGGTATAAAGGAACGCACACCAGCATCAGTGAAAGACTGAATCAAGTAGCATTTACGAATTGATGAAAAAGCACACAGAAGAGAAATCTGACCCCACAACACAACTCTTAACCAGTTTTTTAAGAGAACATAGATAATTATAGAATCATATACTGTGAAATACGTAAAGTTTTAGAAAAAACAAAGAGTGGTAAAATACTTAATAATTCTAATAATCACAAATAATAAGAAAATGACATGTCACTAAGAACAACCTAAATTTGTTCCTTTATGACATCATTGGTCGCTCTCCAAATTTTCAACAAAGAGTAGAATAATTTACACAATTCTAAAATACGTACATAATGTACATATGCATTTTACATAAAAAACATACATAAAGCACTTACGAAATGTACAAGACTTTGACAATGTCTTCAAGAAAAAGCAAAAATAATACAAAACAAAATAATAGTGTAAAACTCAATGAAATGGAATAGGTACATTTTGAGAATTTACTAAAAAATATAATACCCACAGAATGGGAGAAAATATTTGCAAATCATGTATCTGACAAGGGACTTATACCCAGAATATGCAAAGAACTCTTGTAACTCAATAGTAAAACAATTAATAACCCAATTTAAAAATGTGAAAAAAGACTTTTCTCCAAAGAAGATACACAAACACCAAACAGAAAAGATGCTCAACACTGTGAGCCATTAGGAAAATGCAAATCAAAACCATAATGAGATACCACTTTATACCCACAGGGATGGCTATCAGAAGTCTGACAATAACAAATGCTGGTGAGAATGTAGAGAAATCAAAAATCTCCTACCCTGCTGGTAGGAATATAAAAATGGCACAACCATTTTTGAAAACAGTCTGGCAGTTCCTCAAAAAGTTAAACATAGATTTAGCAGTGGACCTAGCTATTCTACTCCTAGGTATATACCCAAAAGAACTGAAAATACGTGTCCATACAATAACTTACAAGTGAATGTTCATTAGCGGCATCATTCAGAATGGCCAAAAGGTGGAAACCCAAGTGCCTATCAACTGGTAAATGGATGAACAAGCTGAGGTATACACACATATACAATGGAACATCATCATTCAGCCATAAAAAAGAACGAAATGCTAATATATCACAGTATGGATGAATCTTGGCTAAGACTACATATTATATGATTCCATTTCTATGAAATGTCCAAAAGAAGCAAATATAGGAGGCAGAAAATAAATTAGTGTTAGTTAAGGGATGGGGGAATAGAAGGGTAATGAATATAGAGTTTCTTTTTGGATGATAAAAATGTTCTAAAATTGGTGGTGGTGATTGTACAGCTAGCTCTGTGAATATACCAAAAACCAGTGAATTGCACCCTTTAAAATGGGTGAAGTATAGGGTATGTGAATTACATATAAATAAAGCTGATACAAAAAATATATGTGAATAGTTGAAGATCTTAAGTGCAACGAATACTATCGTACACATCTGAGTTCAACCACGGATCACTGAAGATTTTACTGTCAAAACCATCAGTAGGCTGTCTGGCTGAATCACATTACATTTTTGTCTGACATTCCTTACAAAAAGGCTTGATAAACTGAATTGCTTTTGAGACACTATGTTTCTTTTTAGTCTTACAGAAGAAAGTAAAACAAAACATTGAATTAAAAGACCAAAAAAAAAAAGCCATGAATCCATCTGTGCTATTGGAAATTCCTTGGACTTAAGATTCAAAGATAAAAACCTAAGTATTGCTTGCATTTTTATTGGGTTGGATTTGATCTTGGAGCAAGCAGCACACGCTTAAGTCAAAGTTGGAAAGGTATCTTCAAATGTTATACAACGCTGTAAAAACACACATTCAATGGTGTTTGGTTTAACAACGTGGCCTGGGGGTTGCCTGGCCTGCTCAGTCGGTGGAGCACACGACTCTTGATCCTGGGGTCGTGAGTTCGAGCCCCGCGCTGGGAGCAGAGATTACTTAGAAGGAAAAAGTGGGCCGAGATGCTGCCGAGCGCTGCTCCTCTGCAGCGGGGGCGGGGGCTGTGCTGCGTAGCCCGCCTGTGCTTCAGCTTCTCCAGTCCCAGGACACGCACAAGAAACTAGTCTACACTTCAAAATGCTTCCACCAAGACAGAAGCCCAGGCGTTGCCCCTCGCCACCCTCAGCCCCGTCTACCAGCTTCCATGGAGCTCTAACGCTTACTCCCTAAAGCCTCCCAGATCCGCTGTCTCTCCTTGCCACGGCCGGGACTTAGCCGAGTGCTCAGCGCCTCACCTGCACTATCACAGGGGTCTCTCGGGCAGCGGCCGGGCTCTGCCCTCTCTACCACACACACCAGCCCTCCAGCAGGGTCCTCCTGAAGCACAGCTCTGCCCAGACCCCTGCCCTGCTACAAGTCTATCCGCAGCCCCTCACTGTCCACTGGACAAAGTCTAAATGTCTGCCAAGGAATACAAGGTCTTGCCTGGGCCTGGCCCTTCCGACGCCCTGGTCTCTTTCCTCACCCCTGCCCCGGCTCATCTTGACCGCCCTCTACAGAAAGGCCCATCGTCCCTGTTACCTTCTGTGTGCCGGATACACAGACACACCCTCCCTTTTCTTTGGCCCGAAAACCTCTGAGTATCTCCACTCTGAAGCTTTCCTGACGGTTCCTCTCCCGGGGCACTTCCCGTTCTGAGTCAGTTACCTGGGCAGGTGTGCGACCCTATCAGACAGAAGCCCCTGCATCCTGAGTGTCTGGCACACCACTGAAGGCAATAAGTACTTGAATACAAAGTTACTAAATGAACTAAATCAATATTTTTTAACACCAAAGAGAAGAAAACATTAATAAATCTGTACTAAATTGGGGCGCCTGGGTGCTTCAGTTGGTTAAGTGTCAGACTCTTGATTTCAGCTCAAGTCATGATCTCACCTTTTGTGAGCCCCATACATCAAATCCCTGCTTGGGATTCTCTATCTCCCTCTCTCTTTTTGCCCCTCTCCTGCCCATGCTATGTTCTCTCTCTCTCTCTCAAAATAAATAAATAGGGGGTGCCTGGATGGCTCAGTCAAGCATCCCACTTCGGCTCAGGTCGTGATCTCACAGTTTGTGGGTGTGAGCCCTGCCAGCAGGCTGTGTGCTGACAGTCAGAGCCTGAAGCTGCTTCAGATTCTGTGTCTCCCTCTCTCTCTGCCCCTCCCCGACTCACGCTCTATCTCTCTCTCAAATAAAATAAAACATCAAACAATTTTTTTTAATTTGTACTAAATTAACTTTCAGATGTGAAAGTTAAAAAGTGAAAGAAACATCAGAAGATGTAGAAATCCTCAAATGTAATAAATCAGTAAAGGGGGCCTGGTTGAGGCTGATGTAAAAGTTACAGACCAATGAGTTTGGGACGGAGTTTTTGTCCCCATTTTGATCTTTTTCTTGAAAATGACTCCTTGTCTACATTTATTCGACAAAGGGAGATATTCAGTTTAAAATAGAGTTTTCTTGGTTTTACTAGGAGACTGATCACTTTTTCCATTTTCAGGTTTTGCTGGTTTCTAACAAACCGACAAAAACTAATCAACATGAAGACATCAGAGCTCTTTGAGCCTGGCATCTTACAATCCCACTTGTTAATGGAAATTGAGACCATCTGAAAGTACTACAATTAGGAAATTTATTATCATGCTGGTGCTTTAAATTTAATATGCCAAACACAGTAACTTTACTGGCGAATCAACTTTATATACTTTTAAAAACCAAACTAGGGGCACCTGGGTGGCTCAGTCCGTTAAGCACCTGATTTTAGCTCAGGTCATGATCTCATGGTTTGTGGGTTCGAGCCCCGCATCGGGCTCTGTGCTGACAGCTCGGAGCCTGGATCCTGCTTCAGATTCTGTGTCTCCCTCTCTCTCTGCCCCCCCCACTCACATTCTCTCTCTCTCTCTCTCTCTCTCTCTCTCAAAAAAAATAAATAAAATAAATAAAAGCCAAAAGAATCTCCCCAAACCTTCTCCTTTTAAAACTACTTTTTAATGTTTAATTCGTGTTGCCTACCACATAAAAATGCCTGTCTTGACACCAACATGACTGTGTGATTGGAGGGGAGCCTGAGCGCGCTCCAGCCGGGCACAGCACTGGCGCGGGGCAACACCCACCTGTAGCCCACCTTGCGGGCATAGTGCAAGCAATTCTCCTTCACGTGGGTCTGGAAGTAGGCCGAGCGGCAGAGGGCCCCTCACTCCGGGCAGCAGTAGGGAGACTTGTGCGCGTGGATCCGCTGGTGGGCACAGAAGCTGCACTGGTTGGGCAGCAGCATCTGGCACACCTGGCAAGTCTAGGAGAAAACACCGAGAAGGCAGCTCACGCAGGCGCCGCGCGCTCGCGGCTCTCCAACCATGGCAGCCTGGCTCTCCTGGACACAGGTCAGAACAGCCCTTCCCCGGCCGTGCTCTCCTCCCACCCTCCTAGGATGCTGGGGACCCGCAGGCCCCATGACAAGTGTCCATCCTGACGCCCAGGCAAGCTTTGCCTCTCACCTTATCCATCAGAGACAGAACGGACGCTACGTGCCCCAAGCTCACTCTGCTTCTGGGACTGCGAGCGTTTCTTCTCGGGCGGAGCACAAGACCAGCTCTCCCCTTCCAGAGGCCAAAAGCACTTGGTGCAGTCTCAGCCCCACTGCGCTCCAGGCCGCCGGGGCTCCCCTCACCAGCAGAGGCAGTCCCTGCGTGACACCTCTAGCCCAGCGGACCCCCGCCCCCAGCAGCCCCGCTAGGCTCTCCGCAGCCCCCTGGGCAGGCGGACTGAGTGGTGCTGCCAGTGAGCACTCCCTCAGCCCCGCGGGCCCCCTGGGGGCGTCCTGAGCCTCCGCTGACCACACACACCTGCAGCGAAGGGCAGAATGGCAATGGCTCCTTCGCCCCCAGGCCCAGGACAGAACCAGGGGGCGAAAAGCGCTGCAGCCGCCCCCTCTGGTGGGCACAGCCCAGGTGGAAGCAGCCGCGGGGGCCCTTCTGGGTCAAAAGGAAACCACCGCGCTCGCTCCAGGCTCCTCGCCGCGGGGGCCACTGACCTGGGCCCAGAGGAATTGTTCAGAGGGACAAGTCGTTGGGGAACAGGAAAGGCAAAATCCAGAATGTGCAGCCTCTACAGGACATACAACCCAGTTTTTTCAACAAATAGATTTCAAGGGAAAAACAGAGAGAGAAAGGAAAGTTATAGATTAAAAGAAATTTAAGAGAAATTTTCAAATTGCAACGTAGAGCACTTATTTGAATCCTGGTTCAAGCAAGCCAACTATAAAAAGAAATGAGACAATCAGAGATACTCGAACGCTAACTTGATGATAATATTGGGAAATCTGACATTTAATATTAAGGTTTGATAATAATAAGAAGAAATTATCATTGTGATTAATTTTGAGATGTGATGATATCAGACCTATGGTTTTGGGGGAAGAACCTCATATTTTATATACATACTGAATTCTTACAGACATGGTGATGCTGGGATTTGTTTAAAAATAATCCAGGGGGGCCGGGGGGGTTGAGAAAATATATAAAACGAGATGGACTAGGAGTTGATAATTGTTAATAGAGGGTTCGTTATGCCATCCTGTCCTCTTTTATATATGTTTGGGACACCCCATAATAAAAAGGCCTTTAAAATAATTTTTAAGTGTTACTTTAGGTGCAGCACAGTAAATATGTATACTGCTCCCTTCCATATGAGAGGGGGGAAGAACACACAGACAGACAGACAGACACACACACACACAGAGGCATATCTATACATATTTGCAAAACAGAGCCATGGAGAGAGAAAGTGAACAAAAATGATACATACGGGGCAGGAAGGAACAGAGTGAAAGCGACACAGACAGAAACAAAACTTCAGGGTGGACTTTGCCATAGTTTTAAGGTTGGAATCACATAAATGTTTTACATAGTTTTCAAATAATATAATATTAAACTAAGTAAACCAAAGTATTTTCTAAAAATTGAAAAACAGGGGCGCCTGGGTGGCTTGGTCGGTTAAGCATCCAACTTTCACTTAGGTCATGATCTCGCGGTTCGTGGGTTCGAGCCCCGCGTCGGGCTCTGTGCTGACTGCCAGGTCAGAGCCCGGAGCCTGTTTTGGTCTGTGACTCCCTCTCTCTCTGACCCTCCCCTGCTCACGCTGTCTCTCTCTCTCCTAGAAATAAATAAATAAATAAGTAAGTAAATAAATAAATAAATAAGAAGGAAAAAAAACATTTAAAAATTGAAAAACAGAAACTCAATAACCTAACAATGTATCAAGTTAGTGACATAACCTTATAGAAAAAATAATTGTTCCCAACGACCTTTAAAACACAACACTGGGGCGCCTGGAGGGCTCAGTCCGTTAAGCATCCCACTTTGGCTCAGGTCATGATCTTGGGGTTTGCGGTTCGGATCCCATGTCGGACTCTGTGCTGACACCTGGGAGCCTGGAGCCTGCTTCGGATTCTGTGTCTCCCTCTCTCTCTGCCCCTCCCTCTTCTCTCTCTCTAGCTCTTAAAAACAAATAAATGTTTGGGGCGCCTGGGTGGCTTAGTTGGTTAAGCGCCTGACTTTTGCTTAGGTCATGATCTCGCGGTTCATGGGTTTGGGCCCCACGTCGGGCTCTGTGCTGACTACCAGCTCAGAGCCTAGAGCCTATTTCAGTCTGTGACTCCCTCTCTCTCTGACCCTCCCCTGCTCACGCTGTCTCTCTCTCTCTCTCTCTCCTAGAAATAAAAAAAAAACCAACACAAATAAATGTTTAAAAAATTTTTTGAAACACAGCATTTTGACTTCTACATCTTAATGTGATTATAAGAGCAAAAAGAACTGCAAATACACCGTCAATTTTATTCAGTTGTTCCAATGTTAGAAACAATATTGGTACTGGGGGCGCCTGGGTGGCTCAGTTGGTTGGGCGGCCGACTTCGGCTCAGGTCATAATCTCCCAGTTTGTGGGTTCGAGCCCCGTGTCAGGCTCTGTGCTGACAGCTAGCTCAGAGCCTGGAGTCTGTTTCAGATTCTGTATCTCCCTTTCTCTCTCTGACCCTCCCCAGCTCACACTGTCTCTCTCTCTCTCTCTCTCTCAGAAATAATTTTTTTTAAAAAAAGAAACAACATTGGTATTGATATTTTGAAATGTGTATGTATGGCAGGAAAATCTTAGGAACCAAGGTTTTCAGTATAAAATCAGTTACATAAAAACTCTATGATTTGGGGCACCTGGCCAGCTCAGTTGGTAGAGCAAGCGACTCAATCTTGGGGTCGTGACTTCCAGTCCCACATTGAGTGTAGAGACTAGTTAAGCAAATAAAACTTTAAAAACACATACTAACATACATACAATAAAAAATGCATACTTCTGAGCTCTGGCCACGGCAAGAGCCCAGTAGCAGACATGCCCAGTGAGCACCTCTGGTGCCCAGAATGGGACTTGTAAGCACCATCTGTCACTGCTAGAACCTGGCTCCTCAGAAGGACGGCCAGTCCCCAGTTTAGCACAAAAAACGTGCCCAGGACATCTTCTGAGGGCTGAGAGTAAGGAAGCTTCTCGGGCTTCATGAGTTCACATCCAGAGGATGCAGAAACCAGCCAGACAGGGCCCCACAACCAAAGACATGGAAAAGCGACCGACTCCAACAGACCACGCGTGTGAAAACCAGTGCTTCCATTACAACACCAGAGGAGGCCGCCTCACGCCCAGGAGGCTGCCTTCCACCAAAGGCAGACAGACAGACACGCAAACCAAACAGAAAAAGGTGCTGGTGAGGATATGGAGAAATTTGAACCCTCATGCTCTGTCGGCAGGAATGTGAAATGGTCCAGCTGCTGTGGAAAACAGCATGAGGGTGGGGGAGCGCCTTAAAAATTTAAGAAGAGAGTTTCTCCCTGGGCTAGCCGTCTCACGTCTGTGTACATACCGAGAGGAACTGAAAACGTGATCTCCGAGCCCAAAGATGTTTGCACACCCTGCTCAGGGCAGCACTACTCATAAAAGCCAAGCGGCCAGCAGGGGATGGATGGAGACACAGAGGTGGTATAAACACACAGTGGAGTGTTATTCAGCCTTAAAAAGGAAGGAAATGCGGTCACATGCCACAATACAGATGAGCCTTGAGGACACCATGGTAAGTGCAGTAAGCCAGCTGGGTAACTAAAAAAACAAGTACTATGTGATTCCACTTGTATGAGGTACACAGAGTGAGTAGTCAAATTCATAGAAACAGAAAGTAGAAGGGGGGTGGCGAGGGGCCGGGGGGTGGAAATGTGGAGTTGTCTCATAGGTATAGAGTTTCAGTTTTGCAAGATGAAAGAGTTCTGGAAATTGATTGCACAACAGTATGAATGTTCTTTATGCTCCTGAATTGTACATTTAAAAAATGGTGAAGATAGTAAACTTTAGGCTATGGGTATTTTACCACAATTTTTTAAAATAACAGAAAATCTTGGGGCACCTGGGTGGCTCAGTTGGTTAAGCATCTGGCTTCAGCTCAGGTCATGGTCTCACGGTTCATGAGTTCAAGCCCCACATCGGGCTCTGTGCTGACAGCTCAGAGCCTGGAGCCTGCTTCAGATTCTGTATCTCTGTCTGTCTGTGTGTGTGTGTGTCTCTCTCTGTCTCTCCCCCGATCACACTGTCTCTCTCTCTTTCAAAAATAAACATTAAAAATTAAAAAAAAAACCCAAAATCTTAACACACTATTTGAGATTGTTAGGGCATCAACTCACTATTGTGAAAACTATCAACTAAGGGAAACAAATTAAATATATATCCCATTTTCCAACATAAACTATATTTCAAGGTAACCAAATATACCTCATCAAAGCGGAAAAGATATTTTATATAGAACTGCAACTAACAACTGAGAAAGAAATAATAAAATTACAAAACACCCTTCTGCAACTCCTAATAAAATTAGTGACTCAAGGAGCAATTATTAACAGCTACTAAAAGAATTATAGGAAAGATAGGGAACTTTTCAATGAAAGGATCAGAACATCACCAGCTGTACTCACTGGTCATACTGAGCATCATTAAAACGTAGACAGACAAGGAGTCTATGCCTCCCTGAAATCAAGAAATACGAAGGGCACACAGGTCCCTCTCCTCAAAACTGGCAATTTCTAGTCTATCCCATAAAATATGGGGTATTGAAGAACAAAGTAATTGTAGGAGGAAGCATCAGTCAAAGCCAGAATCATCCTGGAAAATTCTCAGGGCACATGGACCAGTTTCTTCAATGAATCAGTGACGTGAAAACTTAGCGGGGGAGGAGGCCTGGTTGGGGGGAGGGGGAAATGGTGCTGTTCTAGAATGAGAGAAGACATAAATGAATGTTGACACGTGGTCCATCTTTGGATCCCAATTCAAAACAAGCCCAACTGTAAAAAGGTAGTTTCCTATGCAAAAGGAAAATGTGAATATGGACTTAGATGTGACAGTGACATTATACTAACTAAAAGCTGAAGACCAAGAAGAAATAGTCTCTCTGTGCTGCCTTCCTGCCGACAAGGCCGCATGGAGCGCACATGGAGCCCCCTTGCAGGGGGAGGCACAGCTGGGGAGAAGGCCTGAGCACGTCCCCCTGCAGCCCCTACACTAGAGTGAAGCCAAGCCCCACCCCGCCCGCCTCCCCCCTCCCCCATATGGCCTGAAGCCTGGGTACTGTTTCAGAGACTCAAGCGCACCAGTGAACAAGGCCGGGTTTTGGCCCCAGACCTCAAACCTCACCCTCTCCCTGAGACCCGGAGACCACACGTAGCGGCAGGAACTTCGTGAGGAATCTGAGCTGGGCTGAGAGAAGCCTGACAGCCTTCCTGGGAACCCTGTCCCTTCTTGTCCAGGGAACCTCTTGTCCAGCTCCCACCAGAGGACACACAGAAGAGGCAGGATGGGAAGAGTGTCAGCCGGGGATCCTACCCCCTGACGGCTTCCTGCTCGGATTTTAGAAGGCAGGCGAGGAACAGTGTGGAAAGACGCCAAGCATCAGAGCTCTGCTGACAGCGGTTCTGATCACATGACCTAGAAGAGGCGGTCCTGGCCCAAGCCAGCCATGTGGGGACAGCCAGAAGACGGAAGCCCCGAGCAAAGGGCCAGGGGCGCCACGCTCCAGGGGACTCATCAGAATCAAAATGCAAACTGGGGAGGAAAGGCACGGATGAGAGGCACCTTGCTGGCCCTGCCCCGGGGGCTGCAGAAGGTCCGCAGGCCACCAAACTCCCCCTACCCGGCTCCACACCGCGCTCCTCCTCCGGGGACTGGGCGCACTTTGCGCTTTCCCCGCACCTTTGTGCCCCGTACCGGGAACACCCCAGCCCCACCCTCCTCCAAATTCTTCTTGCAGGTCCAATTGCAATGTCCCTGTCAGTCCCCGGGGCACCCTGCCTCTGCCTGGCGCCACCGGGTCAGTCCCTCTGAGGAACTCCGTGCAACCACGTCTACAAGCCTGTTAGCCCCAACCTGTCTGCCTCACATGGTGGCAGGGGTGAGGCTGCCCTCGCTGAGCCATGGGAGCCCCTGGGGGGGGGGTGTGACGCCCTCCCCCCCACCCAGCACCCCTGTGCTCAATGAGGCGCCCAGTGCACTCCAGGGACACCTGTGCCGAGCGAGCTCAGTGGCCAAACAGGTGCACGGCCCCTGTGACCGAAAGTGAAGAGAGCTTGCCCTCCTCCGCAGCCGGGCTTGGGGAGGTCCCGTGAGGGGCTGGGCCGGGCCACGGGACAGTCACCTGCGGGAGGCAGGAGAGCGCTTTCCGGCGGCAGGTCTGGAGGCTTACTTTCACAGGGCCTTGCGAACACAGCCTCTGACACGGGACATGCACGTCCGCGCGGCCGCTTTCCGGGAGTGTGGGGACACCGATGGGAGAGGCCCCCGAAGCTTCTGCCACGGCCCTCGTGCCAGGCCCCTCTGCCTCCTCAGCCCGGCCCTGGGGAACAGCTCAGGGACGACGTGGTTCCGAGAGCCCAGGCCGCGGTGCAGGGCTCTCACTCCCGGGCTCACGCCACCACTGCGCAGACCCCTCCCAGAGGCCTGCGGCCACCAGCAGAGACCCGCCCAGCGGAGGGGGCGGCACAGCAGGCAAACCTTCAGAGTCTCCCCTCAGTGGGGGTGCGGACCCTTCCCCCAGGAAACACCCAGCACTATGCATTCAGGGGGGTCACTAACCATCAGGCCAGACGTCCTCTTCTAAGACTCCTAAGGTGCCGCCAGGGCCCCCGCATCACTGAGCTCTCCTCCATGCCCAATCATGGAGCTCGGGAAAACCAGGGGCCGACGGCCAGCGCAGGAAGGGTCTGCTTACCAGCCCCTCGGTCTCCTCCGTCGTTCTCTGGAAATGTGCAGCCATGGCCATGTAGTCGCGTATCTGCCTGTGACACTCGAGACACTTGATCCCGTGCCGGATGAGCCTCACGGGGTCCGGGTAGAGCGGCAGAGCCGGAAGGGCTGGGCTGGCAGCGCCCGGGGCCTGGCTGGGTTTGGGGGAGGCGGGGGCGGCCGGGGCGGCCGGGGCCGGGGCGTTCACGGGGGCGGACGAGAACATCTGGTCCACAGAGATGGGCTTCACGAGCAGCTGCGAGCACTGCATGACGAGCCCCTTGCTCTTGTGGTCGCGGGCGTGCCGGAGCAGGCTGCACTTGTTGAAGAAGACCAGCGTCTGGGAGCACAGCGTGCACAGCACCTCGATGTGGACGCTCCGCCGGCCGTAGTGCTGGCTCAGGCTCTTCTCCAGGGCGAACGCGTCCCCGCACTCCAGGCAGCAGTAGCCGCTGGCCGGCACGTGGATCCTGCTGTCCGCGGGCGGGCTGAGGTTCGGTGCGTAGAGGGGCACGGGGTTGGAGCCGTGGAGGACCTTGTTGAAGACCTCCACGGCCAGCGGGGCGGCCTTCTTCACCTGGTGGACCAGCGGCACCGACATCTGGGTGAGCTGCGGCTGGCTCCGCCTCTGCGCCGAGGACTTGGCCGTGACTGACGCGGCGACGCTGTGGGGCACCAGGTTCAGGTTGGCCAGGTGCACGGCCTTGGGCAGGAGGCTGGCGGGGGCGGGTGTGGACGGTGTCGCGCTCTGCTGCTGCTTCTTGCCGGGGGCAGCACCCTTCTGGGCCCGAGACCCGGAGCTGCCACAGGGAGACGAAGATCCACTAGCCTTTGGCACACTCTCGTCCCCTTTCTTGTCACCCTGGGGGCTCCCGGCGTTTGCGCCTGGCTCAGGAGAGCGCTCCACCGCAGGCAGGGCCGTGACCTCATCCTCTGGCACCTCGCTCGGGGCCTCGGCAGCGGCACTCCCCAGAGGGGACCCAACGGGGGACTTACTGGGATCGTCAGGGTCTGGCAGGATCCTCGTGACGGTCCGTTTGATCTCCCCTGATGATGTCTTAATGGTTTTGATCCTAACTTTGGGAATTGCTGGGGGGGAGCTGGCGGCCACCGAAGGGGAGCCTTTGCTGCTGCTGTCACTGCAGATGCTCCGAGGGCTGTCCGAGGGCTTGATGCTCTTTCTAGTGGCCTCCAGGGGGCTGCGGGGACTCTTTGGTGACTTGGGCATTTTGGGGCTGCCTTTGGAGCCCTCTTTAGTAGGCCCTGAGGGGTCCTTCGTGTGGCCAGGCGGATCCTCCTTGGCAACACTGGCCACTCTTTTGGCCTGTAGGGCCACCAAGGCTGCAACACAAGAAGACAGCTTAGAATGTGCTGGCTTCAGGCGCTGCCTGGGGGGGACCGATGAGCAGGTGCCGAGCTCCAGGGCGAGCCCCTTAGGCTCTCCAATACTGTTGCTGGGGTGGCTGTTGAATTCCAAAGCTTCCCCAAAGAACCGACTGGCATCCAGCTCTTTGTGTGGCTCCCCCGGCTTCTGCCCGCCTCGCTCGTGTTCCTGCTGACTCCCCAAGGGCAGAGGCTCTGGCTTGGGCTCTTTCTTACAAAAGTGATCAAACATATGCAGCTCTGGGACTGGAAACTTCGCCAGAGCCTCCAGGACTGGGCCCCCCACAGGCCCACACCCAGGAGGGGGTGGGAAATAACCGTCAGAGTGCTTGGGCTTCATTCCAAACCCATTATCTTTGATGGCATCCTCAGGTTCTGGGCTGGAGATTGGACTGAACTGGTTAAAGGTTGGTAACGGCTCTGACTTGGAAGGTTCTAGCTTGCCGGGGAAACTCCTGGCACTGTCTCCATTCATGAAAGTGGAGTCAAACTTCCCACAGTTGTGGCCCAGGCTGTGGGGGTCTGGAGGCAGGTCCGAGCCCCGGAACCCATTGTGGAGGAGGCTGGGAGTGATGTGGTCCTTCTCCGCTTCCAACGACTCCTGGCGGCTGGTGTTTTTGACAATGACACTCACGGCCGGCACATCTGAGGCTGATCCTGAGTGAGACAAGGACACGCTCTCATCCATACACATGCCTGCAGGCTTGAGGGGGCTCTCATTCTCCTCGGTGGGGGTCTGGATAGCCTCCTTGGCATCAAGGCTGGTGGGGTCTGGGATGTCAAAGGCGGCCAGAAGGTCATCAAAATCTGGAGTTTTCATATCCCCCATGGCTGGATGCTGGCAGCAGCTACAAGGGAAGCAGAACAGAGTCAGTGATCCCCTGGGTCCCCCTGACTCTGTCCAGCATCATCTCCATCACACGCCCATCATGACACGCACACAGCCGGGGTGCACATACATGAACCCCACACCTCATTTTTACCCCAACAGGTTTCCAAAATGCTGGGTGCACTGGGGCCCGGGTGGAAAGAGAAGTTTCCACTTGCAGTGTCGAGCCCGCCTGGCTGACCTTAACATCAACATCTGGAGATTCCCAGCTGGTTGCACAGCCAAAAGGAGAAAGCACTCATATCGCACCCCCTCAATTTCTCAGGGTTACCACTACTCCCTTAACACGTGCACTAGTAAAAACCCAATCACCGAGACCTTTTAAAAAAAAAAAAGAAAGAAAGAAAAGCAGGGCTCAGCACCGCCTTTCTTTAGAAATCTTCTGATTCATAGATGAGACTTGGCTATAACTTTCTGCTAATTTGCCCCTTAGTATTTAATCATTAATTTTGTATAGCTTTGGTTTTTTTGTTGCATGAATTCAGTCAAATCCAAGATAATTTGCTACTGCCAGGATTTATGCTGACCATAAATAAACTCCAGCAAACTGTATCATCTCCTAGGCCCTTTTCTCTCTAGTTAGTGTCTGCTTGATGCTTGAATTTTCACCCAAAACTGTTATTGGCTGGTGAATGGACCACTAAACGTGAGGGGCAAGGTGACTCTCAAAACCCTAACCACACGGTTATCAAATGGGCCAGGGAACAGTCTCGGGGAAGCCCAAATTTTGTTTTAACTTAATACACAAAGACGAGAAGATCCACCTGTTTCCTTCATGCTCTGGAGGAGGAGAACTACGGCACTTCTGTGACAGGAAACCCGGGGCGCTAGGAAAGAGGCCCTCTGTCGGGAAATTACTGCGACACTCACTCGTAGATGAAACGGAAGCTAGCTGCCTCCAGCCTGCTGGAGAGAGGAAGAAAAACCCCACCATCTCCCTCGTTCAGCCCACAAATCCTGCGTCTGCTTCGGCATCGCAGAGCCTCACTTGCCTTCATATTTCTTGCATGTTTGCCCTGAAAACCTGTCTGAAGAATGACATGACTCTGAGAGAGCAGGAGAGTGCTGCACAGAACCAGGTACGTGACAGACCCTCGGGTCCAGGAACCCCAATGCCAATGTTCTTATCCTAAGAACAAAAATTCCCAAAAGCTGTATACAGAAATATGCAGCATTATTAAAACAACACAAAAGAGAGAGACAAGCACGTACAAAAGAATCTAAATGTCCAAGAACAGAGAATGATGAAATGATTGGCAGACTAGTATGGCAGCCATTAAAAATCCCAATTATGAAATTCACATAGCAACATGGAAAACTGATAGTGTTGGAGCGCCGGGCTGGCTCAGTCAGTGGAGCATGGAACTCTTGATCTCAGGGTTGCCAGTTCAAGCCCCACGGTGGGCGTAGATTACTTAAAAATTTAAAAATCTTTTTAAAAAATTACTTGGGGCACCTGAGTGGCTCAGTCAGTTAGGAGTCCAGCTCTTGATTTCAGCTCAGGTCGTGATCTCATGATTCATGAGTTCAAGCCCCACACGGAGTTCTGCACTAACAGCGAGGAGCCTGCTTGGGATTCTCTATTCTCCCCCCCTGTCTGCCCCTTCCCGCTCACTCACTCTCAAAATAAGTAAACTTAAAAAAGTTACTTATAGGGTTAAGTTAAAAACTAATACAAAAATGCTGTTAGACTGTAACAATGTAAAACTAAGTACGCAGTTGAGCCAACATTAAAAGAAAGAGAAAAATAATGTGTAGAGTGGTGGGATTCCTGGTGGGTTATTTTTTCAAAACTCTTTTTGTGCTGATAGGCTGCTTTTATAATTTTAAAAGTGGGAAATAAAAGCTGGGGGGGGTTGACTGAGAATCACGAGGGAGCAGGTGCATGGCAGACGTGTGTCTGTTACCACCCCCTGGGGTCAACAGCTTTGCAGCTTTGGTTTCTTGCCCTCCCCAACCCCCAACAAAACACATCTGCCCACTTAAGAGTTCTCACAGAAAATGAAAAATACCTTCCACTCTGGGAATATATCTAATTACAGTAGATAATAATAAAGTGAAATACCAATTATCTCCACTAAATATGGGTTGGCAGAATATCTCTTTGAAATGAGATGTAAAGGTCCTGGACACAAACGACTGTGTCCTGGAAACGGGAGCCCACAAGCAAGGGGAACGGACTGGACATCAGTTCAGAAACTGGCACCCCAATGCCAAGGCACCAAGTAAGCAGGATGGTCCTAACTGTAAGGAAACCCTGCTGTGATGCCTGTGTTCAGTTTATTTCCTTCCCTCACCGCCACCCCCCCCCCCCATTTTTTACAGTCTGGGGAAAAAAAAAGATTGAAGGAGAAGGGCAGAATAGACTGGTCTTTTTACAGAGCTGAGACGAGCACGTGAGGGAGGAGAGGCTGTAGTTGGTGGTGTGCGTGATGATAACGTGAAGTCACAGGAGCTTAAAGCAGCGAGCGATGACATCAGAAGTCCTGTTCTCCACAGCGGGAAATCTCAGAGATGGGCTGAGAGTGGCCAGGGGTAAGGTGAGGAAGCTTTCGCAGGCAGATGGTGTGAGAGTGCGACATCAGCAGTAGGAAAACCCTTTATAACCTTTGGACCTTAAATACCAAAGCTGGCACTTCTGAGAGCCAAAGATCAAGTCCTGTTTTCTATTTACTCGGAGGAGGGAAAACCAGAAACAGCAGTAATCAATAACAGTGAGTGAGGGGCTAATGGTGTGCCTGTTTGTGTTCCTTTAAACCGTGCTGTAAAGTAAGTATCACGCTGCTTGTAAGTAGAAAATATAAATTTATCAAAACAGGTCCTATTACAAAGGCAAAGGAAGAAAAAGACTACCAATAAAAAGTTCTAGTCATCAAAAACCTGCCAGCACGAAGTTAAAAGGCAAACAACAAACCAAGAGGAAAATCTGCAACACGACAGCCACCATCATTAATGTCTTTACTCCAGAAAAGGCGCTCATGAAGCAGTAAGTGAAAGATATGCAGCCCACTTGGAAAATGCGCAAAGGTGGTGAGCACATTAGAAAAACACGAGTGGACAAGCTACTGCATAAAAAAGTTGCTACCTCACGAGAAATTAGAAGAATACAAATTAAAATAATGAGAAGCCATTTTGGCTTACCAACTTGACCCATGTTTTAAGAAAATAATAATTCCCAGTATTTGCAGAGATGTAGCAAAACAGGCACTTTAAAAGTAGTCTAAATTGATATAATCTGTCTTAACAGCAATTTAGCCATGCCTACGTAAGGCCCAGTAATTCTACTCCCAGAAATGTACCCGAAGGAAATAGAGACACATGTCACAAAGATAATTGTTGCAGAATTATTTATAACAAAATTATTTCATAAAAAACAATGAGACACAACCAAAGTCCCAACAATAGAAATCTGGCTCAATAAATTATAGTATATTAACACAATTAACTACCAGACATCATGATAGAACAATATTTACATCTATGAGAAATGCTACTGATACATGGGGAGGGCAGGGGGAATACTGTAGTGTGTATACAGTGCAATCTCTATTTAAAACAAATAAATTTTAATATACGCAGTTTTTATGAAAAGGGCTAGAGAAACACTCTAAAATCTTAAAAGTATCTCAACAGATGATGAGATTTTTTTTCTTTCGTCTATCTGTATTTTCTATATATTCTATTCCATGGTGTACTGCTTATGTAGTTTTATTATATTTTTCATATAAAAAGAAGAGGGGCACCTGGGTGGCTCAGTAGGTTGCAAGCCCAACTCTTGACTTCGGCTCAAGTCAGGATCCCAGGATGGTGGGAATGAGCCCCGCGTGGGGCTCTATGCTGAGTGCGGGGCCTGCTTGAGATTCCCTCTCCCTCCCTCTCCCTCCGCCCTCTCCCCACTCATACATGCACTCTAAGAAAAAATAAAAAATAAATTAAATAAGGAAGAAGAAGTTAAGGAGGCCAAAACATTTGAGAAGCTTCTTATAGAGGACTCCAAAAATCACTAATATAAAATTCTTGAAGCACATCCGGCATGATTCAGCAGGGGCCTGCCAGCTAGAAAATTGGTGAAATAACTTAATTAAAATAAAAAGTGTCGTCCAAATGAAAAGCATCGGCATGCCAGCGTCTGCAGCCTGTCGCAGGCTGGGAGGCACAAACTTCAGACGGGTTGCCTACTCTGCCCGGGGACAGCATCTGGGACCAGAGCCTGGCTCTGGCCTCGGCCCCATGTCCACCACCACCAGCCCTGACACCCGGCACGGCCCACAGAGCACCCGGCCGGGCTCACCCCGCTGCACCTGGACAGGGCAGCCGTGCGGCAGTATGTGCAATGCCGTGCGGGAAGAGAGCAAGCCCAGGGCTGTCAGACTGACTGCATCATCTCTAGAGAAGTTTCTCCTAGGGAAGATCTGGAAACTTACCAAAAAAAAAAAAAGGAAACATAAATCCCCATTTTTTATTATAGGGTCTGCTACTTGACCAAGAAATGTTATCTAACACTTAAGTAAATATGTCAATGGATGAGGGAGAAGAAACACCTTAACTCTGGAAGGGCCTCAGGAGGCTGGATTAGCCTATTAGGATTCTTTGAGGGGATATAAACAGTATGATTAAGGCCGAAGTAGTAGGCAGAAACCCTACAGACTTTAAACGCCATATTCCACCAAAAACAATTTTAAAAAACTGAATTTCATAGAACGTGGGTGAATGTATGTTGTATGCGTGCATGCTGTATGTGACTGTCATTTATGAGGAATCATGAACAGTGGAGTTTGTCACCCACTGACCAGTTCTGGACAAGCTTAATGCTTTCATAAATTATGTACAATGGTAGATCCCAACACGTAAGAGGACCCAACTTCGTACCCACATAGGGCCTGATGACCAGCCACTCAAAACACCACTACGGGGCACCTGGGTGGCTCAGTCAGTTAAGCGTCTGACTTCAGCTCATGT